TGATTGATTACATCATAACAAGACAACGAGACAGAATGGATGTTCACAGCACAAGAACTATGCGTGGAGCTAATTGCTTGACCGATCACCAGCTACTAAGATCAAAGATTGCATTTGCTTTACGTTCAAAGCGTAGGAAGCAAGGAGCTACTAAACTTGCAAAGCTGAACACAGACCGGCTACACGTCAACACACAACGGCTAAAGCTAGAGCAAGATATGGAGAAAGCTCTGGCGACTTGGGGAGTGCAAGAGGGAATGACAGTTGATCAGACCTGGGCATCACTCAGCAAAGTAGTATATGACACAGCGAGCAACACCCTCGGTAAACCAGAGCGAAAACACCAGGACTGGTTTGACCCAGAAGACTCCGAGCTTCTGATACTCATGAAGAAAAGGAATGAAACACACCAACGTGTATTACAGACTAGAAGCACCAGGTCAACCACCACCGCGTACAAGGAAGCCTGCAGACACTTGCAGAGGCACACACGGAAAATGAAAACCACCTGGTGGGAGAAAAAGGCAGAGGACCTGCAGCGCTCCGCAGACAATAATGACATGAAGTCCTTCTACACTGGACTGAAAGAAGTCTGGGGCCCCCAGACTAGGAGTACAGTTCATCTCAAGTCCCTGGACGGTAACACAACCTTTTCAGACAACAAAAGGGTGCTTGAACGATGGTCGCAGCATTTTGAGACACTACTCAACCAGCCAGGAGATATCGAGCCTGCAGCGCGTGATAGGATCAACCAGCGACCTGTAGTTACTGCACTCGATGATATTCCAACACGAAAAGAGCTAAACCTGGCAATTGCCTCCTTGGGTGATGGCAAGGCACCCGGAGTGGATGGGATACCAAGCTTGATATGGACGCACGGAGGAGCCACACTAACCAACAGTTTACTAATGCTGATACAACAAGCATGGGCAGAAGGCTCCGTACCTCAGGAATGGAAGGATGCTAATATTGTCGCCATCTTCAAAAAAGGAGATAGAACTCAATGTGGAAACTACAGAGGAATATCGCTATTGTCAATAGCAGGGAAAGTTTTTGCCAGGATCCTTCTGAACAGATTGAATACCCACATAGCACCAGATATATTGCCGGAGACGCAATGCGGATTTAGGAACAACCGCAGCACAGTAGATATGATCTTCTGCCTCAGACAACTACAGGAGAAGTGCATTGAGCACAACCGATCCCTCTATGTGGTTTTTGTCGATTTCACGAAAGCCTTTGACACTGTTGGTAGGACAGGTCTTTGGGAACTACTACGAAAGTATGGATGTCCCGAGAAGTTCACCGGAATGGTAGAGTCCTTACATACGGGTATGATGGCTAAAGTCAAGGAAGCAGGCGAAACATCCCATAGCTTCCCTGTAAGTAACGGTGTAAAACAAGGATGTGTGTTGGCCCCTACGCTGTTCTCCATCTTTCTCTCGGCGATGCTGGAGGAGGCCTTTGCGGACTTTGAGGAAGGCGTTTACATACAATCACGTCAAGACGCCGACCTATTCAATGTCGCACACTTCAAAGCTAAGACGAAGTCTACACAGATTCTCGTGAGGGAACTCCTCTTTGCAGATGACAGTGCTCTTAATTGTTTCTCATACACCAGAGCAGATGCAACATGTTATAGATGTATTTTCATCAGCATCAAAGAAGTTCGGTCTACAAATAAACATCAAAAAGACTGAAGTACTATTCCAACCAGGTACAGACCACCGAGAGGAGGAGGAGATCCTAGTGGATGGGACAGCCCTAAACCAGGTAGATGACTTCACTTACCTCGGCAGCACTATATCCAAAGATCGACGGACGCATCGACTCTGAGCTGGTGAAAAGAATGTCAAAGGCCAGCAGTGCCTTTGGAAGACTGCGAACCAGGCTATGGAACAACCATCATGTCTCAACAAGAGTGAAGTGCAAAATCTACAGGGCTATCGTCCTATCCACTCTCTTATACAGTGCGGAAAGCTGGACTCTCTACACAAGTCAAGTAAAGAAACTTCACGCGTTCATGATGAGACACCTTCGAGCAATCATGAGAATCAGTTGGAAGGACAAGGTGACCAACAAAGAGGTACTAGAGCGAGCAAACCTTCCTTCTATGGAGGACCTGCTCATCAGGAAGAACCTACGATGGACAGGCCATGTCATCAGGATGCCCTCTGAGAGGTTACCAAAGCAAGTACTATTCTCGCAACTACCCGCTGGCGAAAGAGGGATTGGTCGTCCACGGCTTCGCTACAAGGACACGATCAAGAGGAACCTTAAGCGGAGGCAAATTGAAACCAAGACTTGGACAACTGCTGCAGGCCAGCGAGCTGTATGGAGAACAGCTGTAAAGTGAAAATGAAGGCGGTCATTGTCGCTTCGCGACAGACAGCTACTACTATTCAAATATCATATATCATTTCGTATAATTCTTTTACTAGTTTTACTGTTTAAGGTTGCTGTCCCGACCAACCCCCTAGGGTTTTTATACAGCAACCGAATTCCTTTTTTTTTATACTGTCAATATTGTACTATGTTAATAATAATTATGAATAGACTAAGTAGTATTTTTATGTTACTGTTTTTTACTATGGAATTGAATAAATACTGAATACTGAATACTCCTTTTCCTTATGAATATTCAGTCTTACTCTTAAATTCTATCATTGCTATTGGTTTATGATGTATTTCATTTGAATATTCTTTGCCTAAAAAAGTTCAGTATATGATGCCGCATTGTATATATAATAAAAGAAAGACATACCTGCACTGGACATGATCTGAGTCCGTTGTATTGATTTAGGGCTCTGCTACTTTCATGTTTGAGATTTAGGAGAGAGGATTTAATTGAGTTGGGTGGTGGTTTTTGGATGATTGGTGTTTTAGAGATATATTGGTGAGAGGTTATTTTTATTAGTTTAAAATACCACTGAATGTACCCGAATTACAAGTGAATCCGCTTCTCTTATCGATCACCCGTTAACAAACAATATAGAGATGATCAAGTCCATGGTGTTTATACGCAATGGAGTAAGCGACCATTCGATGAGCTATCTCATCTGGAAAGCGCATCAAACTCAATCTGGTGTAAAGTATACAACGTATAGGAAGTCTAGAGGTGTAAGTCTGATCTCTCACAACAGAACTGGGTGGAAGTCGAGGAGGAGAATGGTATTGATGAAGCCACTGACAATTTTTGAAAAACTATTGTCAATAAACATATGCCCCTTTAAAAAAAAAAGAGTTCGAAGCAATCAAGCCTCATGGATAAATGAAAACACTTTTGAAGCTATGAAGAAAAGAGACTTGACAAAATCCAAAGCTATAACGACCCAAAATCTAAATGCCTGGAAAGACTATCGTGTGTTAAAAAACAAAGTTACGCCTATGATCAAGAAAGCGAAGCGCAATCATTATACGGAACATCTAACTAAGGATCAGAAATGTAATAATTCATGGAAAACATTGTCTTTATTAATACCCAAGAAAACTCAATCTTCTCAGCCTCCACCTTGTCAGGGCCGCCGAGCATGGATAACCACTTTAATCGAGACATTTTTCAAATGTTGCTACCGGGTAAATTTCTAATTCTACAGTAATTGAGACTATAGTTTCTGATAATAATGATACCGGAGTGGAATATCTGTTACAACTTTCTACTGTAAGTGAATGTGATATTTTGAAAGAAATACAACTAAAAAATAAGAAATCAGTAGGTTTGGAAGGAATATCGATAACGATTTTAAAAATGTCCACAAATGAAATCATTCAACCTATCAGCTATCTGATTAACAAATCCATTATCCAAGGTATAGTTCCAAAGAAACTGAAGATTACTAAAATAGTCCCTTTACACAAAAAGGATGATAGATCAATCCCAAATAACTACAGGCCAATTTTCATACTTTCTTGTTTATCTCAAATCCTGGAAAGGGGATCCAAAAACAGCTTGCGCAGCACTTGCATAAAAACAACTATAGAGCAATCAGGTTTTCGTCCAAAACACTCTATTTCTACGGCATTGATTATTAAAAGTCACGGATTATTCTTTCTGGTCCCCAGCTGCACTTGAATGAAAATAGGCAATCCAGCCGTCTGTTTTCTCTGTATTTCATTGTACATTCTTTCGTTCTTATAGTGTAGTTGTTTTTTGTTTTCAATTTAATGCCATGTGATTTTTTTTTCTTGCTTAATACCGGTATGTTAACTATAATGATGTAACTTATTTTGATTGTATATATATTTTGATGGTTGAACAATAAATGAAATGACCTGTACATTATGTATAAGTTTATAGAATTTGTGTTATTTTTCTTTTTTTTAACTTTCTTTTCATAGTAACATATTCTTTTTATATGACGGGAAAAAAACACATTGCCTCTTTTGACCATTTCTTCATTAATATTAAGGACCTAGATTCCTGCTTCCCTACTGACTCACCTGTCGGGGTTTCTATTCTTTTCTCCCTACTGACTTCTCATCATTTCCATTGGTTCTCCTAATTCTCTCTCAGGCTATTCTATTATTTTGGACTTGTCCATTTTCTGCTATGTCCTTTTTTAATGTTAATTTATTTGAATGTTCTGCAGTGAGCAGTATGTATTGAGAAATAAGGCAGTGCACTACAGGATTCAGCTTGTATACATCTACTTATTTTGGCTCTCATTTTCCTACTAATTTGGAGTTTAGTTAATGAGTTTTATTGGTGACTAATATTTGACTGATTATGGATACTGATTGACTGTTTGTGGGGTGACATTCTCAACTATAATTTAGAAGGTTTACATTTATGTTCAAACATTGTCAGATTATTGGTATGTTCTCTTATGTTCCGGGTATTTGAATAAAAAAATAACATAAAAAAGTGTCAATCAGCAGTATCATTTTGTATTATTTTTCCTCTGCAATTCAATTCAATATACCCTGCATCTTTGCCACTGGTTACAAAGATAAAATATATACTTCCTCCAAATCATTCTGCAACATATATACACAGATGGTTAGAATATATAGATTAGCATATTTATTTGCAGAACAGTAACAACCATACAAATTTACAAAATACATACATTCCAATATATGCAACTACATGCCAATAATCAATCAGCAATGGCATATAATTCACATTGACCCTAAACAATGTGAAATCATCGAACCATTGATGTGGACTTCTGTCTAAATCAATTTTGTTTTCATCTATCAATGAAATTCAGATCGATAAATTTCTTAAATTAATATGGTTCCACTTACTCATAAATTTAGCACCAATTATGACAACAATTTACATGATGGCATTCAGTGTAACACTGATTTGAAATATTAAGCATCAACTTATCTATGCAGTATAAATTTGAATTGAAGAAATGGCATTCTATCATTTCTGTTCTGTAAGTCAACCTACCAAGAAAAACCATATATTGTAAAAACCAACTGTTTTATTTCATGGTGATCCGCAATTTGAAATCCCCATATACAATGTCAAACCATGATCAAGTTCTGTTACCTCACAAACTAATTTTTTTAACCTTTGTGTAACCAAATCACCAACATGATATAATCATGAACAGATTAAGAATATGGGGTATTACTTATACTGCATATGAAAATTCTAGGTCTCTGGTTGGTCAAAACTGCAGGCATGATATTCGCTACTGAGTGCTGGGCAGTATAGCGAAAAATATTGACCGGGCATTGTTCTACTTGCGTGTGCATGTTAAGTAAACAATGGATATGCGCAGTAAGAAACGCATAATGCTCCTAGTCTGGTAAATTTCCTTTGACACTACAAATAAATAATGTGGGATACAAAATAAATATTGACTGCCTATTTTTACAAATAAATAATGTGGGATACAATATAAATATTGACTGCCTATTTTGGGGGTCACAGTTAAAACTACAGCTCCACAGTTATCTAGAGACTGCACTATGCACAATAGTTTCAAGATCACCTTAGGCAATTAGTTTTAACCGTGCCCGTCAAAGCAGTCAATATTTTTATATAATTCATTCTTCATGTGGAGAAAAAAATGCCTCTTTGTGAGGCATCTTCAAGTGTAAATAAGATGTTTATTTAATTATGGACTAGAATTAATTTTTTTTAAGTTAATAAATGAATAACTATTCAAAAATAAATTCAAAGTCTCCTTTTTTCTGTTTTACTTGTACTTGAACATTGTATGTACCACCATAGTTGCCCACAATTTAACATTGTGGTGCTGTAATAGATTGATGGCCAGCTGCAAGGCAAGCATGGCAGTTGTTTTCCACTCTACTTTTTAAAGATAAATGTTGTGTATTTGATCAATGTCTTTCTGCAATGTCTGTGAGATTCTCAGGTATGCCTATTGTTTATCTAACTTACAAACATAATCAAAGTATGAAATTCGCCTACAAAGATTTTTACGACATGGCTCAAAAATATATATAACTGTAAGACAGTTTAGTCCGATTATTTGATACCACTTGCTTTTCACTTCAATTCAAAGATGTTGTGATACCTGTATCAACTGTGAACACAGAGAGTAAAAAGAAAGTGAATTGGCTGAACATTTGATACAAAGTTAACTTATCACATCAATATTCTACTGCTACTGCCAGTACTCCTACTACTTCTACTCTTCCACCTACTTTTGCTACTCACACATATAATTATATGTGACTTACATTTTAAAGTTCTACATTATACATATCCCTGCCAAAACAAAATGAAATCATACTGTTGGTTAAAAAACAATAAATTTACACATACAACGTGATAATCCTAAGGAACAAATTTTCACTGATGAAAAAATAAAGTGACATACAACTGGTTTACTGGAAATTTTTTTTTTTTAAATGAATCATACAATTTAAAAAAAAAAGATTCACAACAGCCCATGTAGGATTACACCACAATCATTTTAGGATTCTCAAGAAAATGTTGAATTTGTGAACATGACAATGACACATTATCTGCATCCTCATCAAATTATTATACTTTCAATGAATTGCGACAGGAGTTAGTCATTCAGGAATGTCTCTCTTCGTTTGGCACTTCTAAATAAAAAATAAAGGCTCATGGGGTCATTTTGTTGAAGTCATTCTTTCCAACCCAATATTGAAGTTGGACTGATTTAAGTCAAAACATTTTTACTCTTTGTTCAAATACATATCCACCAAAGATAAATATGCATGATGGCATTTTTTCAGTTCTCACAATATCCAAAACTGGGTTAGTATGGTCAGGCTTCCTGTTCCAAAAGTGACTAACTATTTACTGATATACTTCATAAGATCAAGATCTTCTAAGCTCTTTTCAACAATATTTTGCCATCCCTTGTTAGCAGCAGGATTAATAGGACTTGGGTGCATGATGGTAACCACCCGCACCCCTTCCACCCCTCCCTTCTCGAGGGCCTTCTTGGTCCTAGCCTCGGCAAACTTGCCTATCCCTACCACCACCTTCACCCCCAGCAGTTGGATCAACCAACATAGATAGTCATCACAGACATCATTCAGAGGATTGCGCATCTCGATCTTCATGGACGGAGGAGTGACGTTCTTGCTCGTTGACGTCATGAACACTAGAGGGCAATGGTTGTACACAAAACATTCCTTGAAGAAGTTCTCTGGAGTGCCACACAGATCCTTCCATAATTTCCAGAAACGCTGTCCACTGACCTCACTACGGTTACAGTCAAGTCCAATGATGATACGCTTGGGATGTTCCTTTGGGGGTCTGCCAACATTCCCTGTAATCTTCATCCAGTCTTTCACATAGTTGGTTTCTCCAAATGGTACCTACCAATAAAGCAATTTCCAACAAACTGAATAAAAGTGGCACAATGCATTGCTTCATTTTTCAATAAGCTTTTATTTATATGTTCATATCCTTTACTTAGAAATATCAATGCGAGGACACTTCACTTCTTCACATCATTTCTTACACAAGTAATGACGTTATAAAATGTTAACTGAAAGTAGATTTGCAACTGTTATTCAAAATATACAACTTAATTCTTAGTGTAAAGTCCTTTCCAGTTATTGGTGAGTAAATGGTACTTATCTTATAGTTGCAATGGTTAACAAAATACTCTAAAAAAAACCAACTTAAAATCAATGCATTTGATTTACCCCATTCTGTGCCATCCCGAATGGACCAGGATTCATTCCAAGAAAGAGCACAGACTTGGTTGAGTTGCCATACTTTCTGACGAAACAGTCATGAGTCTCCTTGGCATATTCCAGAGGATTGTAGATGTAACTCACAGGGTCGCCAAACTTGAGCTTGTCCAGTTCTCTCACCATGTCCTCCATTAGCGAGATGAACTTTTCTGCAACGCTTTCGTCTCTATTTGACTGAGTTGTTGCAGAGCTTGGGAGAGGTGTGGGTGGTGGAGTTGTTGGCAAGCCTGATGCTGCTGGTGGTGGTGGTGGTGGTGGTGTTGTCACAGACGTTGCAGGATTATCTCCTGATGGTCCACCTGTCTTGAGCTTCTTGCGAGGCATTATGATTCTCTATAAAATGATGAAAATATAAGTCATGAAAGGGAAAGAAAAATTTAAGATAAATATCATGATTTGATGATTGATAAATACCCCCCCCCCCCCTCCCAAACTTACAACAATAAAAAAGTGGGGGGTGGGAGATAATAGGACACTGCTAACGTTTAAAATTCACAGATAGGACATACGTGACATGTTCATAATTCCAGCAAAGTTCAGGCCTGATGTCAGAGGGTTATAGAACAGATAAAGGAATATAATAAGTAACATTTCATACCAAATGACGAAGAGCAAAGTATTTTATTCTATGGTATTGGTGATTTCACCAGGATTACGCACAGTCACACACACTCTCATTGTTATATTATAAATGCTTCTGGCATATATGTGTTCCCATCTATTATAATCGGTTGTGTTATTCTTATAAAATCTGGTTACTTTGAATAAATTTTCCCTTACATCAATGTTAACAATTTCCGAACGGACTCGTTGCAGCTGGCTTCTGATTTCCTTAAATGTGGGTATATCTGGCGGATAGTGGTTTCCTGTATCTCGAACAGTGTCGTATGCCCTCCTTATGACAAGAGTTGGATTAGTTCTGAGCAATGCAGTTGCTTCGTCAATAAATTGTCTTCGACGGATTCGCTCATCATCAGGTTCATGCGTGTGATCCCCAAGCGGCCGCTGTTGAATATGAATCTCCGGATTTGTATGATTAATGTTGAAGCGGTTTGTTATGATTGTTTCACCACAGTTGACTCTTGCACATCGCCAATAGATCCGAGTGTGTGAACTGTTGCTACGGGTGTATCTACATGCAGCACATCAATTTAAAGAAAGAGAGAAAGAGAGAGAGAGAGAAGTTTTCATTATTTATTGTTTTGACTCAATTCTATGAAAACAGGTGCAGTGATGGAGAAGAAAAAAACTTTCTACCATTTATCATATTATTATTAGAAGTTTATCATCTAATATGCATACCACTTAGTATTCTAATGCTCAGAACTAGGTGTTAAAGGGCAAGTCCACCCCAAAATAACTTACTTCCAATAGAAGCAGAAAAATCAGACATACCAATCAAAAAAAAAGTTTTAGCAAAATCGGATAACTAATAAGAAAGTTATGAATTTTTAATATTCATATAAAAATCTATAATTATGAATATATATACAATGTTCAGAAAATAGTATCAATTCTTCAAAGTTCATAAAACATTTTACGAAATGTCACGCACGTTAAATGATTCAAACCATATAACCTGGGCAAATGCGTTCGAAATCACATTTTCGGGGATAAAAAGGGAAATTATATTGGGATAAAAATATATAAAGCAATTGATATTGATGAGGCAATGACGTCACAAACAAATAACCAAATAGGTAAATTGTGTAGTGATTTCTCCATTGTTCCATACGCATACCGGTAGTTTTTCATACTAGGAAGACTCTAGTAATTAAACAAAATACAGACCTGAAGCAACTATTTTTCATAAAATGTTATCAGTTAGGATTGTAAAAAAATAGTTGATATTGTGTGGATGTCAGGGTTGTGAAAAGTATAAAGTCATATAATTTTAACAATAAATTTACTTGCCCTGATAATTCTAGATGAGATTACATGAGGAATAACAGTTAATGAAGATACCAAATCGGCAACTGGGCAACAGCATACTTGCTCTGGGCAAGCGGCCAAGTATTTAAAGCATGATTGGAGGGCAATTAAATGTTTCACAATTTATCTACTTTGATATATTTCAAACACAATATATTAAAAACAAAAAATATGTTTTTACGACATGACATGAGAGCATCATTTTCATGTAGTTCTACGTACACAGATAATCCAAAAAATTCTACAAATTTACACACTATTAATTGCCATTTGTCTAGCAAAATTGTAATTCAAAGACTTGCTGACGCGTGTAAAAGTGATAAAGATCAAATATTCGGGCAGGCTGGCCTATATACAAGTGGAAATTAATTCTGGCTGGATTCTTACAAGATTATCTGAAGATATTTGACACATTTGGCTCTCAATAATGTGGAAAGATATCATACACAATTACTATTTGAGGAATGGAATTCCAAACTCCAGCTAAAGTATCAATTTGAAATGAAACACCATACCCGGCTCATAGCTGTGTTTCCAAAAAGAAGGTATCCATCCCAGTTACGTTCAACAAGTGGTGGATATAATACTAATCAATCCATTATTTTCTTTGATATATGTAATAACTATTACACCATAAAAGCTACAGGGGTACGAAAGGATCGGGGTGTTGAAATACCTCTCTTCAGCAAAAAAGTTACTGTTTCAGGTAGTCAAACACACCAATTATCTACACCACTGAATGAAGCTAAAACACCCTCATTGACAAAATCCTGGGTACGACTATGCCATGAGGCAGGGGCGAATCCAGCCGACAAGGGAGGGGGTCCAATTTGTGAGAAAATATTTAGCGACTCGACCGTCCGAATAAGCAGAGGGGGGGGGGGGGGAATAGGAACTCTCTTTATTTTTTTACTCAACAGCCCGCCCCTCCCTTTGAGCAAAAAATACTTTTTTTGGGGGGGGGGCCGGGGGGCCTATTATTTTGGCCAGGGGAGGAGGCCCCTTGGATCCGCCCCTGCCAAGAGGCATGATAATTATTGTTTGATACAAGATTCTGCTCAGAATACTGGCTCAGGTCTTATATAGACTCAATGTTTTGAAGGAGAAGATGCAGAACTCCTTTAAAAGCTGAAATGCTGTTGGCCAGACTCCCTGTCTAAGGGCGCCAAGCTGAGCCTGAGCACAAGGGCTGAGGCTGGTATGTGCCCTGCCCAAGACCCAAAATGCACAACATATTGATTATTGTTGAAGTGATAGAGCCAAGCTTATGTTGAAAGTCTAATTTACCACTTTAAGGCATATACATTTTATGAGAGAAAATGTTAAAATACCAGGTACCAACTTTTAAGGGGTATGAACTATGATTTATTTAGAGCAAAACACAATGTAGCCCACGTACCTATAGCCTCTGTAGGTCAAAACTCTCCCACCTCGCCTGTCTGCATGTGTGACAGACGGGGCATCAAGTGCCCCGAAGTGATTCAAGGCTGCCATGTCATAAAACGTTCAAAGTACGATGCAACAAAGGTTGTCTCTATATAATTATCAAAGATAAAAGATAAAATATACTTTTTTTAAATACATAATACAGGGCCCGCCACCATTCACATAATGCCAAATGGTCACAAAATCTTATATTATTTAGCTTAAAATCTTGAAAATCTAATGGCGCAGCATATGGTCAGATCGATTGTGGGGGGGGGGGGGTGATTGGTTGTTTATATACACTATACCGGGGCAACCCTTTTATTTCTTTATTGGTTCAGAAATGTATGTTTTCAATAAATGTTTTCGACAAATATTTTAAGCAAAGTGTTGTACCCCCCCCCCCAATAGCTAACCACAGCCATAGGGTCCCCCATCCAATATTTCCCTTATTATCATTTTGTTTGCTTAATATTTATATTATATTGACTGGGCTTGAGGAGTATATCAGATATATTAAGCTAAGATCATATTGCCCCGAGTCGAAGACGAGGGCAATACGGTCTTAGCGCGGTCAATATTTCTGATATACCCCGAAAGAAGCCCTGTCAATTACCTAAACAAGGCATTTTTAAGCAAATTAATGATAGGGGCCAATTAAATTTTGGTATCATTCTTGCCGGTCCATCTGATTTCAGGTTATTCAGGTAGGTATGTAATTGTGAGTAACAATGTGTGTAATTGTGACGTAACAATGATTGTTACTGCGCGTACACTTTAACGCCTACACGATACTGTGCGTAAAGCGCACTGAGAAGATGGCTCAATATTGCCCTCTGATTTAGTACAGTGGTTTACGGGGCAAACCCGGAAGAGGGCAATATGGCAAATATTCACCGCTCCGGTTTCATATTCGGAGCAGCGTGCAAAATACGACTTTTTATTTAGCAGCTAAAATGCCTTGTATAGGTAATAATCATAAATAGCGACCCTCATTCGTTCTTATACGTAGCATTATGAATAGCGGTCGACCCTCTTCTTGGATTATGAATAACAACCCCCTGATGAGGGGGTCACTCCTAACATGACTAGCTATATGCACCAGCGTCCAGAAAAAGCACTAGCTGACCGCATAAGACCAAAAAGGGTACCTTAATTTACAGGTTCACAGGTTTCGATATTTTCTTACAGGTTTTCAAAGCAATTTTTAACAATTTAGAGGTGTTAAAATGTGTAATATGCCTTCTAGGCAGGGGGGCAATACGGGGAGGGGGGGACACGTCCCCCTCTGAAAATATAGCAAATACTGACTAAAGACTACAACACACTCTTATGCTCTGGGGGGCCCAAGAGTGCGCATTTAGACAAATAAAACTGCAAAAATCTTCTCGCTCGGTAGCTACACTACCTCGCATAATATCCTTCAAAATGAACAAGTAAATATTGTAGAAAAGTGAAGTGTGAAAAAAGTGGTTCCATGACACATGCTCCGCCGACGATTGCTCCGCCGACATTTACTCCGCAAAACGCGACAATTGCTCCGCGACATTTGCTCCGCGACATTTGCTCCGACGTCAAATGCTCCGCCGACAGGTGCTCCGCCGACAGTTGCTCCGCCGACAGTTGCTCCGCCGACAATTGCTCCGCCGACAGATGCTCCACCGACAATTGCTCCTCCGACAATTGCTCCGCCGACAATTGCTCCGCCGTCAATTACTCCGCAAAACGCGACAATTGCTCCGCCGACATTTTCTCCGCCGACATTTGCTCCGCCTGAAGCGACACTTGCTCCGCCGACATTTGCTCCACCGACATTTGCTCCGCCGTCAATTGCTCCGCCGACAATTGCTCCGCTTGAAGCGACAATTGCTCCGGGGACATTTGCTCCGCCGACAATTGCTCCGACGACATTTGCTCCGCCGACAATTGCTCCGCCCAAAACGTGTCCCATTAAATACAAATGCTACTAGTACTACGACAAATGCTTCGCCGACAATATTTTTTTTTCACGGGTTGTTTTTGTTTCTTTTGTTTTTCTTCATTTTCTGAATGCATTTCATGAAATTATGTAAATGAAATGAAATGAATGAATGTTGATAATGTGGGAGGAAAAAGCAGTTGCCTAAAAGTCATTTCGAATATACTGAAATAACTTTCCATCTATCACTGTACGTCCCACATAATGTACACTAAACACTCATTACATGTCATGGGAAGTTTTTTTTTTTTAAAGTGGAGCAGCAAGCCACATTCCCCAATACGCGCATACCTCCTAGTTAATTTCAAACAGCTCATCAATATGTAAGACCTGAAATTACCTCAATGAAAGAAGACTAATAACATGAGAGGAAAGAAAAGAGCAAAGAAGACAACCGTTTTTCGCTATTCCCCATAATGTTTGATTTAAAAAAATAAAAAATAAAATTATAGCTCCTTACGCAAGTTCTCCGGCGAAAGATAATTACTCCGCTCAAAATCTGTTTCATGTATTACTCATTAGCTGATCCAAAGCTCAAGGCTATCTCTCTCTCTCTCTCTCTTTTTCTCTCTCCCATGCTCCTCCTTTTCCTGTTTACACCGTTTTCTTGTCTTCTTTGCTCTTTTCTTTCCTCTCATGCTATTAGTCTTCTTTCATTTCCATCACTTCTTCTCTGCTCCCCCTCTCGACTTCTATTTCTCTCGTGAAATTGAAACGTAAAGTAATACAATCATGTAGTACATTCTTGTTTAGAATAATATTTTCAATAATATCCAGTCCATTTTCTAAAGGTTTCTTTCCTTTAGTTAAGTGTATGTAGCTTTAATGTATTATGTTAGTGTGTAAAACACTCCGTTTCATTCGAGTACTTTGTTTTCACTGAATAATTTAAGGGACTCACGAAGCCACCGGAAGAAGAGCAATTGGCTTATCATGAAGAACTAACATCAAACTGCAACAAAATGATTTGTATAAATGTGAATAAGCAGAAAGGCTGCCATCTCATTTTCCCGTCTGAATGGGTTCTCTTCCTTACGTATATAAGTGCCCTTATTTTCTAAACTTCCATGATGACCTAGTACATTGTATAATGCTTTACCTAGTAAGATGCATTGATCGAGGTAATTTCAGGTATTACATATTGATGAGCTACTTGAAATTAACTAGGAGGTATGCGCGTATTGGGGAATGTGGCTTGCTGCTCTACTTTTTTTTAAAAACTTCCCACGACATGTAATGAGTGTTTAGTATACATTATATGGGACGTACAGTGATAGATGGAAAGTTATTTCAGTATATTCGAAATGACTTTTAGGTAACTCCTTTTTCCTCCCACTTCATCAACATTCATTCATTTCATTTCATCTACATTATTTCAAGAAATGCATTCAGAAAATGAAGAAGAAAAAAAGAAACGAAAAAAATAGGTGTAAAGAAAATATTGTCGGCGAAGCATTTGTCGTAGTACTAGTAGCATTTGTAGTTTATGGGACACTTTTTGGGCGGAGCAAATGTCGTCGGAGCAAATGTCGGCGGAGCAATTGTCGCTTCAGGCGGAGCAATTGTCGGCGGAGCAATTGTCGGCGGAGCAAATGTCGGTGGAGCAAATGTCGTCGGAGCAAATGTCGGCGGAGCAATTGTCGCTTCAGGCGGAGCAATTGTCGGCGGAGCAAATGTCGGCGGAGCAAGTGTCGCTTCAGGCGGAGCAAATGTCGGCGGAGCAAATGTCGGCGGAGCAATTGTCGCGTTTTGCGGAGCAATTGACGGCGGAGCAATTGTCGGCGGAGCAATTGTCGGCGGAGCAATTGTCGGCGGAGCATCTGTCGGCGGAGCAATTGTCGGCGGAGCAACTGTCGGCGGAGCAATTGTCGGCGGAGCAACTGTCGGCGGAGCATTTGACGTCGGAGCAAATGTCGCGGAGCAAATGTCGCGGAGCAATTGTCGCGTTTTGCGGAGTAAATGTCGGCGGAGCAATTGTCGGCGGAGCATGTGTCGGGTTACCGAAAAAAGTACATTGCTTGTTTTTGAACTATAGTTTTGCTATAGTATAAGGAATGTAATTTTTTAATACAACAAAACTTCAAAAACCTGTGAGGGGGAAGTCACTTCCGTGCCGTCACCTTCATCCCTCTCGCACTGGCGTACTGATGGGGGGGGGGGGGGGTAATTGACCCCCCCCCCCCCCCAATAAAATTCAAACATGGTTTATTTCTAATTCGATATTGGTGATTTACAACTGTTGCTGAAATGGCATGATTTTCCCAAGAGCCCCCTGGTTGCTCGATCATCTGACCATAATTAAATGCCTAAAACCCCTGAGCTTCCAGAGGCTCTGCCCCCTGGACCCCACCAGGGCCCTAAAGAAGGCCCCTGGATGCTCACCTGACCGTAATGTAATGCATAAAACCCCTGAGCTGAAGGGGCCGACTTTGCCCTCTGGAACCCACCAAGAGCCGTGTTTAGTGCCATTCTGTACCCTGATCCCGCATTTCAGCCCCCGGCCCCCCCCCCCCCCACTCCGAGGTCGGAATGACCCCATGCATGTTACCAAAATGTTCGGTAAAGGGGTACTTTTCGTGCGACAAAATCCGACCCGAGAATTGTAAAAAAAGGGGCGTATTAACTTTTCACCCGGAGATTTCGTTAAAAAGGGGGTGTTTTTTTTGGGTTTTTTTCTCCCGTCTCTCTGGACTCCTGAGAAATTATTCTGAATTTAGGGGGGTACATTGAGCATTTTTCATGATTTAGGGAGGTCTCCAAGGCAGGAAAAGCCCGCGAAAGGGGAGTTCGGAAATGTTGGCAGTCCTCAGATAGGGGGTGCTTTCAAAAAGAGGGAACGAGCATATGCGTACCCTAAATAACTCTGAGTGAGGGGGCCGGGTTTCAGCCTTCAGGATGAGAAAAAGGGTATCTAGAAGTATATGATTGGTTAACATATAAATTTGCTTTTGGTGAAATTTCAGCAAAATCTATGGATGAGAAATATGTTTTTTGGATGAGGAATGTGAAATGTAATGCAAAAATGACGGCCCGATTAGCAATTTTTGCATATACATACAATTTTTTTGTGACTTTTTGTTTTTGTTTTTTGTAATGAATAAATCTTGTCACATTTGAGATCACAACTCTTTAATTGTTTTAAAAACAAAGGAAAACAAAGCACATGATTTTAGGGCGTTTACAATTGGCATAACTTTCTTATTACTGGGGCTATTATTAGGATGAATGAGGCATCAAATAAAAGGTCTTATAGAGCTTGAATTCTGAGATTTAATTTTTTTGTAACATACCTACTGTCAGTGCAGTGTCACTGCACCGCTGCAAGCTATAGCCAAAAATATAGGCAATAAGATCATGCAGGCCATGAAGATTGGCAAGATGTCAGGCTTAGATCTAAATCTTTCTGTTGTCGTTGATGCTCATTAATTATACATTATGACAAGCACTGTTTTTTGTGTTAATATAGCGACCTATATAATACTATTAATAACTGTGAAGTCATAATGCACATTTTGCATTGCCATGGCATTAGTTTGTTTTGAGGCCATGACCATGAGGGATACACAAATGTCAAGCTACGGGACTCTGTCTGACTCTGACTGAAAGCCACATCACATGTACTGTGTGATGTGTGTATGATTATTATATTATTTCAACTGCTATAATTTTGGAATAAATGTTATATTATCACATAACACTTCATATCTTTCATTTACGACAATTCCTAATTAATTCAAAAATAAGGCCTGAGAGGGATTCGAACTCTCGATCTTCTGTTTACGAGACAGACGCCTTGCCACTTGGCCACCAGGCCTCCACGACTTCCATTGCCAAAATTACATTACTCATACTAAACAATGTAGTCAAAAAAGGAAATAGCTGCAAAGAAGCAATAAATTCATAATATTTTAAGATATTTTACTTTAAATTGATTTCGAAATTACCTCGAGGCCAGAATGTAGAAATCAGGAGCACCAAAAATCAGTTATTTGGCTTTCTCATCTGCGAAATCCCCAGCTGAATTTCGTCTATGAAATATGAAGATCCTCGTTCTAAAGAACTTCTATCGAAATTTTCTAATTTTTATTGATAAGTAATCAAGCTTGATGTTTTTGGACTGTAAAATACTTCATTATATTATTATAATTATCAAAAGTAATGCCAAATATTCAATTATTTATTTAAATGTAATAATGAGAACAAGCAAAAATATTCTATAAGAGTACGGAACATATTTTCAAATTGGTAATCAAGTTTACTTTCCCGCGATGTGGCGGTAAATTGGAAACATTTCAAGATTTCGATAAAGGTGATATCTTCATTTCTTTGTAGATTTATTATTTGATGTGTAATACGCATTTTGTTGCTTCATATAAGTGAGAAATTCTATTGACTGTACCACTGCTGTGCTATCACTATCTGAGTGTGATGTGATTTGCGAGACTGAGCTGAGCTGAGTCGCGGGATTTTATCACAATGTCTCAGTCACAGTCCCACATGCTCAATTATATGACTGTTAGTCACAAAGTTAAATCGATCAATTTTTTTAACATCAACACTAACAGTAGAGTCTATACGCATGATACGGAAGAAAATGTAGTCCTGTTGGTCTTCGATCTTCCGGTCGCTTCTTCTTTTTATGGTTGTGATTAATTAACGGACGAAAACAACGGAGCAGAGATGTGACTGATGGATGACGCGCAACACACTGGAATTTAGACCAACAAATTGCCCTAGGCTTAGGGTCTAATTGGCTTGCGCTTGTTCAGAAACCTATCCAAAATAACGCCATTACGAACGTGTAGATGGCGCACAGTTTTTCCTTCATAATCATTTTTGCCTTCGGCGTAGACTATGACTAGATCTAGAAGGGATGAGATTGATTTAGATGACTCCGGCAGCGAGAGTTTAACACGGCTTGCAAGATTTTCAACATGGATGTCGATTTTGACCCATAATTTCCTTAAAAGGGACCATTAAACGAATTATTTCAATCAAGTTAGTAAGTGGAACCGATGTATTATAGCCTAGGCCTAATTTACATTTGGATATAGACTACACGAGGTAAAATGACATTTTGGGGGATTTTGGGGGCAAAACGCTACGACCTGAAATGGCCGTGGCGTTATCAAGGGAATGTGTATAGACGGTTTCCGTCTCTAAAGAGAGAGCCGGCCGACCCTACCCCAATAAGAGGCTAACGAACGAAAGAGACGGAAAATTCGGTCTAGAGTAGATCTAGACCTAGATCTAGACATAAATAACCATCTGATTTGGGTCATTTCTTTAATAAAACTGACATTAGTTGACATTCCCCAATACAGATGGTAACCCAGAGATCTCGTACCGTGGGGGTAGCTAGAGCCAACAATGTACATCTTTTCGTTCAAAACATTTTCTGGCCAAAAAATGGCCAATCAGAACACTTGTTTCGTGGGAGTTCGTTGGTCAAGCCGGGCTGACTCGTACGTAGCTACGGTAGCTATTGGACGTTCGAAAAGAAAAAATGAATATTCATCAACTAAAACCAAGACGGATAATGTTGACGACGAGACTTTTTCGGATTAATCATTAATTTAGGATCTAAATGAGCAAGCTATCGTAAGTCAAATAAGCCATATATATGTTATATTTAATTTTTATTATAATTGCAGCAGTTATGAGGATGTAAAGAGTGAAAATCTCGTTGCATATCTCATTCATCGCGGTCCGGTCGAACCGAACCATTTGTTCCGTACAGTCCCGTACAGTCCCGTACAGTCCCATACAGTCCCGATAGGCCATACTTCAGTCTCTACAGAGATGCCAACCCTCCCGATTTCATCGGGAGGCTCCCGATAATTCACCCCAACTCCCGACCTTACGATTTCCATCCTTATCCTCCCGATTAAAAAAAAAAAACAAAAAAACAAAAAACAAAAAACAAAAAAAAAAACGATTTTTTTTTTTTTTTTTTTTTTTTTTTTTTTTTTTTTTTTTTTTTTTTTCCCCAGTATATATATCTGTGAATTGAATGAGAAATATCGTCTGTTAACTTTAGCATGTAGTATTTCCACTATGTTAAAAGATAAAGTAGCAAAAGATTGTTTCAGCATATGGATCGCTGTAACCAATGCGTGGATATTGACACAGAATCCAAATGGCGGAAAATCAGCAAAAGAAGACCAAGAAATGGTCTCAGAAGTATAAGACCGAAACAGTATCAAGTACCCGTGTATTCAGAAGTCTGAAAGGAATTCATCATGCATTTTGTACAATTTGTAATTTATTTTTAAAAAAAGTGGGAATTATTTAACTAAATACACATGTAAAATGCTGCGAAATAAGGCTCAGATTGCACCAGAGATCATCTAGAACCCCAGAGCTTCCAGGGCCCTAAAGCAGGCCCTGGACCCCGGCCGCATGGGTCGGGCACTACGCGCTCGACATGTGCGCTACGCGCACATTATGTGGTGTCGGTTACAAATCCTCCCTATTTCTGTTTTCCAAAAGTTGGCATCTCTGTCTCTATAATCGGAGGTCTAGTGGAGCCAGACATAGTCTCAGTGGAACAACCGACGACTAGAGAGACTGAAGTTTTCGGTCTAGAGTAGACCCTACTCCCTAGATCTAGACCCTATTCATTAAATTTCCAATTGAATAAAGATCATGAGTTAAATAAAAATTGTTATGTTTATTACCTTTTTCGGGTCAATTTTCTTGTTATTTTTGGAGCATTTTTCGGAAAAACATTGATATTAGTAGTTCTAGACCTAGACTCTATAGACTCTACACTTTTTCACAGGTTTCACGGCAAACCGCTGCACAATAAATGTATACCGATGATCACTTCAGCAAAGCATAGAGTCAATGCTAACTTCTACTTCTACGGCGATACTCAGCAGGATCCATAAATCAGGATGTATAGTGCTGAGGAATAAACTATCTAGTTCTTGGTCTAGATGCAGGGTGGAAGCGCTCCCTTGAAGCCCTCCAGTGAAGTAGCGTCAAGGGTGATCTTTGAAAGTGCATTCCACGCAGTTACAGTCCGAGGGAAAAATGAGTTCTGGTAGAGCTGGGTGCGGGATCGGATAGCCAGCAACTTCTTTGAGTGATACTGTCGTGTGTTGCTGGCAATCATGGGTACTGTGTAATGGTGTGCATTGATGGCTACTGTGTTGTTTTGGATCTTGTACATGAGGTGGAGGCTTGCAGCATTTCTTCTCATTTCGAGGCTCTCCCATTTCAGATGTTGAATCATGGCCGAGACACTGGCCATACGACGATATCTCTGAAGTGTGAATCTTGCTGCTCACCTTTGTACTGCCTCGATTTTGGATATATGCTTGTTTGTGTGAGGGTTCCAGACCGAGCAACAGTATTCCAGATGAGGTCTAACGAGAGAAGTAGGCTTGTTGGCGGATCTTTTGTGAGGTTTTGCGGAGATTTCTGCTGACTAGTCCCAGCATCCGATTGGCTCGGGATGTAATGTTGTTCATGTGGCCTTGCCAGGACAAGTTGGATGAGAAAGTCAGTCCTAGATACCGGAGATCTGTTACCAACGCAAGAGGAGTGTCTCCTAGCGTGTTTGTCGTGGTCATGGCTTTCCGACGTAGGGAGAATGTGATGTGGTAGCATTTCTCGGTGTTGAATTTCATCTGCCATGTGTTAGCCCATGAATGCAGCCTGTTGAGATCTTGTTGTAGCTAGGCTTGGCTATCAGTGACATCAGTGTTCGGACGATATAGAAGACATTCATCAGCAAAGAGTCAGATTTTGGAAGAGATCCCGATCTACTATGTCATTGATGAAGGATGTAAACAAAAGTGGGCCGAGAACTGTGCCCTGCGGTACCCCAGAGGTGACTGGAACCCATTCAGATGACTCTCCATCTACAACAACACGTTGTAACCTTTCAGTTAGGAACACCCTGATCCATCTGATAAGGTTGTCATGGATCCCATAGTGATGAAGCTTATGGAGGAGGCGGTTATGGGGTACACGGTCAAAGGCTTTGGCTAATGCGTATTTTACTGCTATTTAATGTACGTGTCATCAATTGTCACTCAAGTACAGATTTTGAGTGAAATCAGTTGAGTTTTGTACAGTGGTGTTTGAAATGTTGATAATCAAAGCACAGCTTTTACTACACAGCCAGGATAGTGATGCTCCTATGTGTGACCGATGATGGGTTGCGGGCGGGCGGGCGCGTGCCTGTGCGAACAGTGAAGTTATCTACCGTAATGAGGATCTGGCTTCATTAACAAAAACATGGTGTATTCGTCCAATGAGAGATTCTTGTTGTATCCATCTAAGGAGTTGTCCAGAGGAACCATAGGATTTCACCTTACTAATCAGTCTTTGATGAGGGACAGAGTCAAATGCTTTACTAGAATCCAAATAAACAACATCAATTGGTTCCCCCAGGCCAGATACCGTAAATATCTGTGTATAAGGCGCACCTTTTTTTCCGTCTGCAAAAATTAAAAGTCGGGGGTGCGTCTTGTACACAGGTACAGGATATTTTCAATCCTCAAAATGCTACTTTTTAGTGGTTTTCAAAAATCTCTGTGTCTCAACATGAATCACATAATGCAAATAAAGAATAGGATCTACTATTTGAATTTTAACTACGTTCCTAATTTGAAGGGAAGAGAGTTTTTTGGTTTTTTTCAGTCACAATAAATTATGCCCTTTACAAAGCACTTTGCCGGCCGAAGCTCTCCCGTGTCTGCAGCTCACTCACTCACAAAACTAGCTTGTCAAAATTTCTGTCATCTTTAGTTTTAAAAACAACATTATTACTAGGTATAACTTAGTTCTCAAGCACTTCAACTGTACCTCTTAATAGCCAAAAAAGCCACACAAAAGCTATTTGGGCTTTTTTGGCTTTTTGTTAACCATGCAGATCAGATCGGCTCTTATTTCAGTGTTCGAAAATACTTTCATTTTATTAAGAGGTACAGTTGAAGTGCTTGAGAAATAAATTAGACCTAGTAATAATGTTGTTTTTAAAACTAAAGATGACAGAATTTTTTTTTTTTTTTTGGTCTTAAAAATAGGGGTGTGCAGGCTTATACACAGGTGCGCCTTCTACACAGAGATTTACGGTACTCTATTAATGTGGGTCATGCTATGCATATCTTGAATCATAAACCATTTTGGGTGCTAGTGTACTTTGGTATCCATTTTTTAGCAGTTTCATATCCATTAATCTTAAGCAAAGGAATTTTAGCACAGTTTTTTACTAATTTTAATCATAGTCTAGGGTCTATTTCATTTTCCACCTGAATTTGGATCACCGGGAAGCCTCCGGTTATGGCTTCGATGTTAACGTTGTCGCTCATACCGTCTCTTCGCTATATAGGATAGCTCTGCACCTCAAACTGAAGCTATCAGTAAAAATTAAAACTTCTCGTATGGTTTATGTTATTATTAGGGACACTGATTTTCCGCGATCACGGAAAACGGACGGAATTCACGAAAAATGCAATTTCGAACGGAAAGTCGCGGAAAACCCCTTTCACCTCAAAACTTTTCATTTTACAAGAAGAAAATCGTAAAACTTACACTATTTTTGTGATTTGTTATGCAGTGAAAAAAATATTGGGCCTAAAATCATGGTTAATAACTCTGAATATTTAACGATATTCGTCAGATTCTTAGGAGACCGGGCGCTGCCATTTTGTTTCGCTGGACCAATAGAGATCGTGACTCAAAACACGGTACAAGTAGCAGCAAAACGATCCTATTATGCCAGCTAGGCGCCTAGTATTATGTAGACGTAATACTAGGCACACACACGCCAACAGCTGGCGCTATTGTGCGGCGAGATTGTACACACGCTGTTGTACAGTTAGAAAAAGGGGCTGGCATGTGCGCCTAAAATCGAATGATCGCTGACATGACAGCCAAGACTGAAATGTTTTCGTCGAAGTCGGTACTACTCTGTTTCTGTTTTTGTTTCTGTATTGTTCCGTCAGGAATATGTCATGTTTTGACACATTCCGCTAACTTTAGTCTGCCTAAGTTTGAATTTGAAGTTGGTAAATCTAAATTTGATAATTTTTCGTATATTTTCACTAGTATTTTGCATCAAGTTTATCCAGTCCCGTCCACATGTTTTTGAGTAGTTATCAGTGGCAAAACGGAATTTCAAGGAATTCCAGATTTTCTGAAACGGAAAAAGCCATTTTTGAAACGGAATTAGTGTCCGTATATCATGCATGTGCGATGCCAAAAAACGGATTCCACATAAGAAAATAACACCAGTTCACCATCTACTTTCGTGGGTTGTCCGTCTTCTCAAGGATTTACAGCTCATAATGTGAAAGTCAATGTTAAAATGCATCAAGAAAATCATTGCGAAATCCATTTTTTCGCATCGCCAAGGCACAAATCGGAAATGTGAACGTCGGCGAAAATGTGGACGATTCTTATTTTAACAGACGCTTTAAAAAAGCAGACCGTAAATTTCAAGATTTTTTGGTCGGTCGCTAAGGGCAATACAACATATTTTTTTGTTTACCCCTAACCTGCTGTATGATAATTTCAAATGGTTTAACCACAAAATTTCTTTTCATTTTAGTATTAAAATCATTGCCACTAGGATGCAGCAACAGAGATGCCTTTTGTTTCAACTTCTTTCCAAGAACCCAACCTGAGACTCCCCTGAGTCACCTCCAAAGTGTTCAAATTTCACTACACATTCTCTCTCTCTCTCAAATGCTAACGTTCTTATTTGTCAACAATATCCCATTTCGAGGCTCAGGACCAGGAACAGAACAGAATAAAGATATTGTTCCTTTTTTGCCTTCAAAATTTCAGATTGGGTGAATTAACAGCAAGCAAAATGGCTGTGGATGTTCTTAATCCAGTCAACATGAACTGTGAATTGCTAGCGACCTGCAATGCTCTTGGGTTCTTAGAAGGTCATGTTTATCAGAAGGAACCAGATTGCTTGGGTAAGAGAACAATGCAGCTCAGATCTTCCTGTTAAAATATATATTTTGTTTTATTATTCAAATGTATCATGTGAATTATTTTTTGTCTGAATAATACATTACGCTCTTTATTTCATTACCAAAGACAAATTGACCCTGATGTTTTATGCACAGTATATGGTGTTGAAATTGTTATCTGGACTGGAACACTTTTAATCAAAGTATTCTTAACTCTTAAGTACTATTTAGCCCAGGAACCAAAGCACGGACAGCTAAATTGTTTTCATGGGCACTGTACATGTGATGAAAATTGTGTATGGTGGTCCATTGAATGTTCTCATGTTCCAAAACACAAGAAAAATAGATGGATATAATGACATTATTTTATTGTAATTTTATCAGCCTTAAAAACAGAAATGTAAATTTGTTCATCCTTTTCAACAGAAACTATCAAGGATCTCATTCGCTTCTTGAGAAGAGAAGATGAGACGTGCAGCATTCGACGTCAACTTGGTCATGCTCAGATTCTGCAGAATGATCTGATACCACTAACCAAGCAGTACGGCAAGGATGAAGAATTGTTTGAAACAACCATCAGGTAAGAATTTTATAAGAACTGCGAAAGGAATTTTTGTTTTGTTCCTGCCAGTTATTTTTCATCACTTAGATATTGAAGTGTAAAGTATGATCCTACATCTTGATAGGATTTCATTGTAAAAGCGATAATCAATCTGTTGTTTTTTTTCAGATTTTTTTACGACTCTGATATCAATAAAATGGGATCCTGAAACTTGTTAGTAGTTCATGGGCAATGTGATAATACATGGATTTTTCTTGTCTGTTTTTTGTTCTCACTTGAACATTGAAAAATTGTTTCTTAAAATTCTATAAAATGTTAGGGGTGTTTTGAGATCAATCATTTAATTCTTATCAAATTGTTTATCAAACAATAAAACATTGTGTTGTGAAAAGTATTTCTTACTGTTCCTAATATGTAGTTATTGTTATCACTGTGGAACATCTTTGAAGTACCTCCTGCTACCAGAGCCCTACAGACCACAAGATCTCTAGAACTTCAACAATTGTACATTTGCCTCATATCATATTATGGGTTGTGGCTGGGAATACTCAAGAGAAAGTCTCCATTACTGCAGCTGAAAAGAATTTTACTCTTTAAATCATTTGAATTTTATGTTAAAAGTAACTAGTTCAGTGACATGTGAAGAGAACTTTTTTTTCAAATATATGGTGACCTCCACCATTATTTTGTCATCCATCAGACTTCTGGTTAATCTGACCCAACCTGCTGAGCTGTGCTTCCAGAATGTCCCTGATGATAAGACGTTCCGCAACTATTTCCTGGAAGTCTTGTCCGATCTCCAAGCTTACAAACAAGCATTTGCTTCCGAAGAGTTTATGGCTGTCATGGCGAGAAAACTTAAGAAGATGCTGGATATGGTATGAAAACATTGAATACTCAATAAAAGTTTGTTACTTCATCATATTTTACTCATATGTCTTCCCTTCATGATCTTCATCCAATCCTCTCCCTTTTTTCTGGTTATTTAAAAGAAATAAGTTCATTGAAATATCAATCTTTTTTTTCCAATTTTTTTTAAAAACTTCTCATCAATTCCAAAAAAAATGGTGTCAAACATTGGCCATATTTTCCCACTTTGAATTATAGATGATCAAGTCTTATTCAGAGTATTTGGGTTATTAGTTAAAATAACATTTTTTAAGATTCAGTAATGTATTTATTGTTTAACTGATACTGGAGCCCATTACACATTAGCTTGATTTATGAATTACACTAGTACACTTGAAAAATAATAATTTTAGTGCTTTTCCTTTTTTTTCCCCTTTCAAACACTTGGATTACACAAAATGCTTTATCTTTATAAAGAATGCAATGTGTTACTTTCATTTCAAAAGTGTAAAGCAGATACCAAGAGAATGTGCTTTTAGGTATATTCAGTTGATGATTTCCTAGACATGTTGATATCAATATTTTTCGCATTCCACATTCATATTCTATTCTCTTTTCTAATCCCTTTACCAGGAATGGGAGAGTCGTCGTGAAGACCACACCCTTCTCATGGAACGCATCTTGCTCCTCGTTAGGAATGTCATCCACATACCAGCCGACCCTAATGCTGAGAAGGTACACAAATCAAAAGAGATTTTTTTTTTTCCTGTAAAGTGAATGAAGGTTTCTTTATGCTGATATTGAAGTAATTTGTAAAATGCTGGCTTCTTGTAGGATGGTTATGTCCACCACACATAGTACCCAAAGCAGAGTTTTAGGGTGAGCTTATGGTATTAAGGGTTATAAGATCAGGGATGGTGTGTGTTCCAGGGTTGATGGTATGAATTTGGTTAGAGCAGGATATTCACTACAGAGCATTTGCTAGGTTGTTGCAGAAACATGTGTGGTGTCATTGCTCAAGCACTCAAATATTACCATATTTATAGCTTTAGCTGGGCTCCCAATTTTGAAGTTTAAATCTGTCCAGAAATTGCTTTGTACCACATACCCATTTACCACACATGGATAGAGGATGGGGATTATAGATTAATATCTTGTCAAAGGACCTGATTGCAATGCCAGGATTAAACCCATAACCTTTGATCTCCTGTCGTATTTTAAAACCACTTAACTATGACATCTTAACAAACTTCTATCTTGCAAAGGATCAGGATAGTATGAATATTTTGTTCTTATGCTTTCTTGTTTTTGACAGAGAACTGATGATGATGCGAGCGTCCATGACCAGGTTCTCTGGGCTCTCAATGTGAGTGGGATGGATAAGCTGATTCTCTACATAGCTAGCGCAGAGGGAGAGCAGCAGTGGTGCATGCATGCAATAGAGATCATATCACATATGCTCAGAGAACAAGTAAGCAATAGATACTCAACTTCATGTACATACGGTAAAGCTGTAAGCTTAAAAGACTTTCCCCCAAAGGATAGGACGCTGACTCTTTCTGAAACACAAAAGTGTTTGTGGAATGCTGAAGATATTCCTTGTTTACTTGTCTTTTCATCCATATATGGTGCCCTGATTTTCATCTAGCTTTTAGTAACTTTTTGTCTTTATTTTTCACTTTCAGTGCCTTGTTGCATAAAAGTCGTGTGATTTGAAGTATGATGTACATTCAAAAAAGTTATCCTACTTGACTAACAGACACCTCAGTTACTAATTACGGACACCACCAAGTTGCTATTGATAATAACTTGAACTTAGTTACATATGAACTGCCGTTGGTATCAATGTAATACTCCATCATTCCAATCATTTTATTTGCCACAAATTGAGCATGACATTCTTTCAAATGATTGATAACGTAAAATATCCTTTTCACGCTAATTCAACTCAATATGCCGTCAAAATTGTATTGGAAGTGACAACTGCGATAAAGAATTAAAACATGTAAAATGTCCCCTTGTTAATATCTGATAATAATGCACATTCTTTTATGCTTCAATATTGTCTGACCTTTAGACCCCAGAGTCCATTGCTAAGGCTGGAAGAGTGCAGCATGCCAGTGAGAGACTGAAAGAGGAGAAGGAATTGGAAATGATCCGTCAAAGGGAGCTGTTGGAGAAGAAATCGAGACTTATGAAGGCTAGTGGCAGGTATGGAAGATTATAACAGCAAAGAAATGTTATTCACATAATGCTTGTGAGAATAATTGAGCAAAGTTTGTCATCATAGATAAGAGTTCATTTTATTGTCTGTACACATCTAAGTAACACAGATCAATATTATCCAATATGTGCCTCAGCAGAACTTCCTCCAAACTTTATTTTAACATGTTTGGGTTTTTAGGTTACGTTTAGTGTTGGAATTAGGATATATTGTATAATGTTTATAGTAGGGTTTAAGTTAGGTGTTGATTAGTGTTTAAAATTGACTGCAGTCTACAAAGCAATTGTTGCTGAAGCATATGTCATACAATCAGCAGATGTATTTCTTTCTTGTTTTCCAAATTCAGGCATTCTCGCTTCGGAGGCTCCTTCTACATGACCAACTTCAAGTCGATCAGCGATCGTGACCTCATCTACCACCGCCCCCTCCAGCAGGCCAAGACCATGACGTTTGAGAGTACCAAGAACGCCACCAAGAAACCCAAGAATAAACTACCCTTACAGGACGGGACCATCAATAGGAGATCAACCTTGAGCATCAGGCTCTTCCTCAAAGACTTCTGTATGCTCTTCCTTGATAACTGCTACAATCCACTCATGTATGCTGTCAAGGTATGTCAAGTCACCAAGCTTGTGAATACATTTTTAGATTGATCTTGATGGAGAAAATTAAGTTTGAATGGATGAAAAGGAGGTAATACTTTAAAAATATGAGTTGTGTACTCTACAATTTGAAATCAAATACAGTAAAACCAAAAAACATTAGCAAATTTAAATGACAAATTATGAGAGAGTTTTACAAATTGCAAAAAAAAAATATGATGTCAGCTGTTAATCAATTATTTTTTGTCATGAAACTTTTATCAATATGATTCATCTTTGAAATTCACACACCTTCAATGCACAGGAACATTTCAGGTTCTACCTAATAAAGATTAAGGGATCACAAGAATTTCCTTAGCGACCAAATAGTTTGCTTTCATCGTCTGTGTTTATTTTGTATGCAACGTCTTTGACAAGGGTTTTCATATTTGTATTCTTCCCAAGTCCCAAGCTTCTGACTTTCCTTGATGAATAGGAAAATACATTGAGTAATTGTTTGTCCTATTTTGTTTCTTCAGGACCATATTCTTCACCGTCGTGCTCAGGAGAATGATGAGTCCTACTACTTCTGGGCAATGCAATTCTTCATGCAGTTCAGTCGTCTATATAAGTTCAGAGTGGATGTCATCAGGTATAGTAAAATAACGTTAATAAAATTAAAATCCTGTACTATGATGATATTTATTTTGATAAAAGTCACTTCTTAAAAAAATAGACTTTGTTTGATGTGGTACAGATGCATATATGATGAAAATGGGTAAGGTCTTACAATGTAAAAATCTACATTTACTGTTTTATTTATTAAGCTACATCATGACCTTTATGTGGTATTTTTTAAAGGTAAATAATCTTAGGATGGTACTCTATGAATATATTTTCTGTAAAGGCACAGCCTGGAATAAGAGACAGGACCCTCATATTTGTATTTTATAGTTATATTGAGAGTTATGGAAATGGAGGTATACTGTTTAGTATAACTATGCTGTATATTGCACCGTTTTATTTGTCATAGGAGGTTAAATCATGTGTTAGTATTAAACTTAAAGGGAGCCGGTAACTTTGTCTCAGATTCTGAAACAAAATCCTGGATTTAGCTCATGCTGCAATGATTATTATAAACCTTTAGGTCAGTCAGGAACCCCATGACTTTTACAAGCTGATCGCCTGTCTGATTATCAAGATATTTATGATTGGAAATCAAAACCAAATTTTGCGTTTTCAAAACAATACAGTCTATCGGGGAAAATGAGTATGGTAAAGCCGGGTCACTCAAAGATTTTTACTTTTTTGAGACACTTCTTGATCATTTTGAAGCACAATTTTCTTTTAGGGCTTCAATATTACACCATATTACGGACACTGATGACACCTAAGGCCGTGCATCTCAGATTTAACACTGTTAAACGGTGCCTTTAAGTATGATCATTGTTTTTCTTTGTTTTTGCTTGTAGTGAGTCATTCTCCGTCCAGGCCTTCCACTATGTGAACACCCAGCTCATCAAGTATCTTGACATGATGACGACGGACAAGAAGGAGGCAGCTGCCTGGTCTAAAAGGTATGTCCTTGCATGATCACCTGGGGGGCATTTCACAAAGCTTGTCATCAGTGACAACTGACAGTTTTTGATATAAGCTACTTGCTTCTGATTAGTTATCAGCAAATTTGTGATTGATTTTTGTCATTGAAAAAAGGCTTTGTGAAACGGTCCCTGTCTTATCCTGTTAGGCAGGACGTGGCACTAACAGAGGTCAAAGAGTAACTCTGAATGACCCCAAAAGTAATTTATATCAGGATACCCTTGTTTGCTGGTTTTGTTTGATTTATTGATATTTTTTTAAAACTTTTAACAAATGAAAAAAAAATTGTGCTGAGCCCTCTGTTATCCTGATATCTCACTTTACATTACATTCGTTAAAAAAATACTAGAACCAAATAGAGTTCATGGAGCATGAAAATTCTTGAAGGGATTGTTTAGTATTTCAATCTGGCAAATCTTGATGTAAATTTTGATGTTATATGCAATAAACCTCATAATGTGTAGCTGTCATATATATATATATAGTTCTCTAAAGCCTTTCAGAGCTTATAAATCATGTCTTTCCTGAAGCATTCTTTATTTGTTTCCTCCCTTCCTACCTATAGACTGCATCTTGCACTGAAAGCTTACCGTGAACTGTTGGCCACACTGAATGAGATGACTGGTCCCCATAGCAACCCAGAGCTGAAGGAGTCTGCTGATGCAATCCAGAACAACGTCTTCTATGTGCTGGAGTACAGGGAGGTCTTTATCACCCTCCTCAAGAAATTCAATGAAGTCAAGTGCACGAGGTATGTAGAAGTGTCAAAGTAGAGTGGTTTAAGCACTTGACTTGAAATTCAATGGTCGTGGTTCGATCCCTGACACAGCACTAATGTCCTTTGGCAAGGCATTAAACTACATTTGCCACTCTATACCCAGGAGAGAAATGGGGACCCGGTAGGATGACAAAAGCATTTGTTTTAGTAATTGCCTATGCCCTCACGGTGACCATATGATAGGAATACTCCCCAGGGAGTGGAGATGGTGCACATTGTCCGTGAATGAATCCGATGACTGGGGAAAATAATATCTATAAAGCGCTTAGAGAAGGTATTCCGTATTAAGCGCTATATAAATCCAGATGATTATTATTTGGAATGAAAGAATCAGATCAAGATGAAGTAAATATGGTTATTGAAATACGGTAATTTCACTGAAGTCTCTTGACAAAACTCATAGATATTCCATTTTGAGATATAACTGCTGATGTGCAGCTGAATGTTATTCATTGCATAACCGTTCTAGTCTATAGATGACCCATGTAATTAATTCCACTTCTCTGAATTATGAAATATATAAAGATATATTTTAAAGAACAGCAAATTGATTTTTCATCAGAGTCAATGTTTGAAAGCTAGCTGTTCATAATACGATGATTAAATAGTGGCCACTTCTTGCAAATCTTGCAAATAATAGTGTAGAGAATCATACCAATCTCCCTCTTCTCTCAGTCATCATTGCAAAATTTATTCCATTAAAGTGTTACATATGAAAAGAACAATATAAAAATCAATGAACCCTACATTTTGATACTCGCAGTTGATTCAGATCACTTATGAAACTCAATTACCATCTTATTTTATCCAAGTATTCATATTTTGTATGTTGTTTACTCTTTTGTTCAGGACATACCTCAAAGACTTGATAGAATCAGCTCACATCTTCATGAAGATGCTGGAGAAATACTGCAAGAGCAAGAAGACACTTATCGTGCAGGTGAGAAAATGAGAGCCAGAAGGGCGTTAACGCATAAAATTTAACACAGAGTTAATGACCATATAATAACTGGTCACATAACTTGGTGTATAACATCTGGGAATCCTCTTGAATTTCAGCTATCTTTCCATGAAAATAATTCAATATTGAATCAAAGGAAAAATCTTGTGTAAACATATTTCAGAATGGAATGTTCAGTTAATATTTTCAAATTGTAAAATGTGTTCATGCAGATAAAGATTCTCAAAATCTTATCTTTAGCCTCTTTTACAGTTTTTACATGTTTTTCTTTCTCACATATATATGTATATGTATATATAAAAGAAGCAAAATACCAGAATTTCCTTAGAATGAATTTCATATAATGTATCTCTCTTGCACCTACAGAAAAAGACCAAGAAGAAGGCCAAGCGCAGAAAACGTAAGCTTGCTCATATCAGTTTGTTTTCATTATTTAATGTTTACTTTAATTCGGATAGCCAGGTCTCTTAGTATAGTGTAGCGATATTTCCATCAGGGAGGAACATAGCAACATTTTATGATCTTGTTCGCAAGCTGACAATCAAATGCATTTCTTCTGATGGGTTTTAGGTGACATGCAGTTATAGGGCCATGGCTGGCTTGATTTGATTACGTTTTAATACTTTGATTCAGCATTCATTTGGAAATTAAGGAAATTTACAAATTTGGAGCAAGATATTCAATCCAATTTTTAGTTACCCAAACTGAAGGTTATCACCCTTCCTAATTCACAAGCATACAACATCTTGCTATATGTAGAAGTTTGTGTTTCATGCTTCATAATTCATTGTAATGGGGTTTTCTTTTATTGACAATTCATAAGGTATATGTAAAATGACCAATATTACATGACATTCCAAACATCCATTCTCCTGTTCCATGATCGTTTGTACACAGGTCGACCGGCCAAGAAACCTGAAGAGAACCAGACCAACGAGGAAGAAGAGAACCAGCTCACCCAGGTCTGGGATGATACCCTGGCTACTGAACTATCATCCATGCTCCAAGGTAGAGAGGATGTCCCAGATGATGTAGTCCCATTCGATGCTGCTTCTGAGATGCCGGTGGAAGAACAGAGGTATGAGAATACATCGTGCAACCGTTATAGAGTGATGATTCTTAAGGAATCCATAATGGTGAAGATGCAGAAATCAGTCTGTCCTTTAAATTCTTGGCATACTGTATTTATTATGTGCTGTAAGTCATATTAATAGCCTATATTGTATACTGTTTATTTGTTGTCAAATGATTATCTCTATACAATTTGTAATGAATATTGTATTGTAATAATAAATCTCACAGAAACTTAAAAAATATTGAATTGATATTCCAGAAAAGACTGCATGCTATTGCTTTGATTTTCAGACTCAGTTGCATTATGTACATTTCCTTACCATGCCAACTTTCAGAATGAATTTTCTACAGTGCTGCCAATTGAAAGAGGACCTCAAAATGATGCGGTTATATATACATTTATCCTAATACAGTACAACTCTTCGATTGCTGCCATTAAAAAGAGTACAAGACTATACAACAGTAAATGTACCTTTCATTAATACCCTTTTGTATTTTCTGTCCTTTAGAGCTGATGCAATGGTTAGGATCCAGCAGAGTTTGAGATCTGGTAGAGCAGGGGAAGGTCTGGCCTTGTTCAGAGCAGCCAGGTAAGGTCTTTAATGCACCGGTCAACTAGAGTCTTGAACCTACCCCCCTCAAGACTTCACTCTTATTCACTTTTGGTCTTGAACGTCCGACACAAAGATTCACCTCTCATTCACCTTGCTTCGTAACAAATAAGGTCAAGATTCACTATTCCAAATTATTTTTAAGGTGCAGATTCACCCATCTCCAAGAAAAATAGGGTGCAGATTCACCTCGCCGCTAAAAATATTAGGTGCAGATTCACCACACGTCTTCACCTGCTTAATTTTTATTAGGTCAAGATTCACCGGCCTTTCACCAGCACCGCTACTTATGGTAGATAGAGTGATTATAAGTAAAGGAAACATAAATTGATCATGAGTACTTGTGGAAACAATCTGTTTTCTGAAAATGGTAGCTAGAATTTAAAAAAAGGTACAATTTCGCCACTAATTATTTTTTTCGGGTCTCCGCTTCGGCTACGATGTCTCGCCAATAATTATTATTTTTGGATCTCCGTATCCATGAGTTATTCACATTGTGTTAAACGTGTGGCTTAATGATTTACATATACATGTGGCTAAAACTTGTCAAAAGGAGTGTTTTGTTCAACTGCTTGTTTTTATATAAGAAAATGTTGTCACTGACACGCAGCTAGGCTAGGAATTTTTTTTTTTAATGGGGGCTACTTTAAGAAAAGTGGGGGCTAATTCATTTTAAGCTGTAACAATAAGTTGTGTTTTTCCTTAGCCGTCATGCTACTAGTACTAGCAACCAAATTGGTAGGTAATATTGTGTCATTTTGTATTTTTTTCTGTCCCGAATTTGAATTGTTATCATGGACAATGCGATCCCATTTTAAAAAAAATGTAACTCCGTTTAAAATTGTGTTATTTAGATCTAGACTCTATAACTTAACCAATAAATGAATATTTTTACTGTTGTCCCACATAACGATCATTGTTATAAAGAAACATGCAAAATCATAGTCGTATTTTTGTCCCCGTAAAGACTCTAATTCTAATCTATAAAAGGCCAAGCCAAAGCTAGTTTCATTTCGTAGACTGAAATTGATGCCATCACTCAGGCGCGGCGCAGGCATCAACGACAATGGGCCTAGTATATAAATAATATAATTTAATTAAACAGTTGTAAGAAAAATGCTGAGGTATAGGAACATCATTTATATATTTATTTACGGGGTTTTTATAACAAAATTCAATTTCTGTCTACGAAATTAGCTTTAGACCTATACCGATTTTACAGGAAAAAATCTGGCATTGATTTTGCACGTTTCGTTACAACAAATATATCGGTATGTGGGACAACAGTAAAAATATACTCGCATTTAATGGTTTTAAGTTATAAATAACACAATTTGAGACGGAATAACATTATTTTTAATGGGATTGCACTGTCCATGATAAAAATTCGGGTCGGAAAAAAGACTAAATAAACATATTACGAACCAATTTGGTCGCTAGCAGTTCAGCACTCGTCACTCGCAAATACTTATTTGCTTCAATTCATACTCTAGAAGCGTGCGGGCTCGCGCTGCACTGGAGTAGCTAGTTTCTGTGTATTGTGAATCTGTACTCCGTATTTACATCGGGGGCGCGGGCCTGGCCGCGTGCTTTATAGGCTAGGCGGATACCGATCTAGCTACAGCAGTAGGTACGACCGCCGATCCGCTGCAATCACAAAACTTTTAAAATGTTGATGGAAATTTCTAGTTTTGGAGTTGGTAGTTGGAACGGAGAGTTCAGTCAGACAAATCAATAAATTGATTTATTAGTTCCCAGGGAATATCAATTTATGGCGGGGGCGATTTTTCATTATATATCAATTTTGTTCGCCCTCGTCTTGATATTTACTGTGGCGATTTCAAAGGTTTAGGAGGCGAATCGCCCCGTCGCCATCGTGTATTTTTTTTCGTTGGCGCAGGCTATACAAGTAAACAAAACGTGACAGCAGCTGTAAACAAATTTCCCCCACGTCTGCATAGCCGGGTTATATTATGATTTACCCAAAATGTGATCAGTTGACAAAGCAGTCTTCGTTGAGTGTAGACATATTAGAAACTCTTCAATAATTAAAAACTTTATCGGGGTACACTTTTGGTACTCATCAGCAGGGCGGTATTCCGCATGTCGCTAACTTGTATGGCATCACAAAACCTGCCATACAAGTTAGCGACATGCGGAATACCGCCCTGCTGACTCCAAATTCAGAAGGTTTAGAAGGTATATATTTTCTGGTTTTAATATTCGTGGACACCGGATTTAGCGCGAAATCCGAACTCGAACGTAGCTAGCTCCACGTCACAGTTAAAATCTTGAACCCTCATTTCCCCTGGAGTCAAAGACATTCGACGCTCGTTCACACACGATAATTTTTTCACTCGACGCTCGTTCACTTGTATGTGAAAAATATTCGTTCAAGATTCACAACATTCGGTAAAAAATGAGGCAAAGATTCACCTTCTCCTACAAATAATAAGGTAAAGATTCACTACGGCCAAACAAAAATACGTCAAAGATTCACCACGCTCAGATTTTGGCGACCCCAAGATTCGACGTCGAGTTGACGTCGAATGCTCGACGATCCTTGAGGGGGGTAGGTTCAAGACTCCGGTTGACGGGTGCATAAATAGAACCATAAACGGTCAAAGATCCTAGACCCATTGAAGAAACCTTGATTACAGTCTGCCTAAAATGATCTTGTCATTTTAAGGCTTCCAATACCAATTTGTATTGATTTTATAAGCTTTTCTTGTGCAGTATTAGGCACTCACCACCACTAGCATAATTCTAGTGTGGTTATTCACTACAATTTTACTCAAAAACTACTCAAAGAATATGCCTTTAGTTTACATCCACTTTTATATTGCATCATGTGTAAGACATATTTGATTGTAGTACTTTTTCTCTCATACATTATTATTATTCAAAATAGATTACAAAATGATATAGTTTCATGATGAATGTAATTTTTTATTGTACAATTAATAGGGAAAGTGTATTTCCAGCTGTAAAATGTTTGATCTTAGCTCTCACTTGTACACTTCTTCAATCACAGAAGAGATTGAATAAACATGGGTTGCATTAAATCATATAAATCACTATGTTTGATGCTTATTGAATGTTCACATGATCCAATGTTTTTATAGGGAGGTGTGGCCTGAGGGGGAGGTGTTTGGAGCAGCAGACATCGACCCTGAGGAAGAGTTCATGGCACTCAGAGAGATACACTTCACCAACCTCAATGGTATATCTTACATCTGTTCATTCTGTTGTGATTATATGTGAATGCAAGAATTTTGAGGATTCAAACACATGACACTCCTTTCAACTAGTTGTTGACAGGATAGGTTAGAAGTTGTTGAGTGTAACTCTTAAATTAAAAGAATGGTCAAACACAAAGGGACAGGAGAGATGTTGATCTTTGCAAGATTCTTGTTTGCTTTAATTTAAACGAGCGAAGAAAGTCTCAAACTCTTATCACTTTGTTGGTCTTATTTGCATGGAGATTTGTACTCACCATATTCCATTTAACATTTATGTTCTAAAAGTTTCAAAACTATCCCTGTAATGTAGAAAGATTCTTACTAGAATGTAAAGAATTTATGTCATATAAATCTAATTTTCAAGTCACTTTGTGTTCAAGGCTTAAAACTCAGTATTAAAAACTTTGATATACTACATACTGATTACTTCAACTTTTCTCCAGTATGTTCTGTTTAAACCTTTTTCACTTTTGTGTTTTAGTGCCAACCCCAACACAAGCAGAGGCAGAGCCAGATGCGGAGGAACAGGAAATGGAAGAAGAAGGTTTGTCTTTCCCTTTCCATGCCATTTTAATATTTTTGTGTGCCCACTGCAGTAAATATAGAGTTTCTGTAATGGCAGGTAATTGTTTATCACATAATCGGATAAGATTTACACCGAATGTTAAAGATTACAAATGAATTGTACCAGCCAACAATTATTTTTTATCTTTTTTTTTGGGGGGGGGGGGGGGTTGTAAGGTGAGTTCAAGCTGAGTAGTGAGCAAAGACACGTAAAACGAGCTGGTGAAATAGAACCGGTTGATCTGCATTGTGCCATTGAGGTTTTCAACTTAAAACATTTCCATGATTTTATCTCCTATTGAGGGGGGAGGTATGAAATTGTTTTTTTCCATCATATTAGGATAAAATCATTATATTTGAATGTTCACAAATTAAAAAATGTGTTAAACTAAAGTTGATGTTTATTACCTTGCTTTATCTAGATGAAGAAGACGAGATGGCAATGGAAGAACATACAACACGAGGAGAAGAGGAATTCAACTTTAAACTTTATGTCAACAAGTAAGGACACACTTCAGCAAACATTTTCACATCTGTAATCGTTGTCAACATGGGTGTATTTACAGAGCTATTGTAGATGAATCAAAATCATCTAATGTTCCAATTCAAGTATTATTTATATGGAGTGAGAATATAGGAGAAAAACGATATTCTTATGAAAATTGATTAGAATGAGATTATTTAAAAAGATTCCTAAGTTAGTATTAGTGTGATTTTACTTTATAGTTGTTGTATACTGTTTAAAGAGAATAACTAAGATCAACTTTGCCTTCGATGTTGTAACATAATTAAAATTTATTTCATTATTGGTTCCTTCGAATTATTCCTTGTCACAATTCTTGCTAGGTGACTTGCATTTTCCAACTCGTACAAGTGTAAATATTTTATATACCACTCTTAACATCTATTTATTTTACCATTTTTTTCAAAGGTTCACTCACCCTGATGTACTGAGGAACTACATCAAGTTGCTGACAAGTTTCCGCAGCAACCAGGAGTTCACCAATCACTGCATCATCAAGCTCCTTCATCGAGTATCCCTGGAGACGGACAAGGCAGAGCTCCTCTTCCAGATCTCTCTCTTCAGGATATTTCATAAGATCCTCCAGGACCCACTGGCAAAGACTGGCCAGTTTAAGGTAAGGACAAGTTTATTTGGACTTCATCATGTTTCAACATCCTAGTCTTATTTGGACATCTGTTTGAAGTTTTTCTGTGCATCATTTTTTGTCAAGAAAGATGTCAAAGAATGTACCATAAATTTGACATTTTAAAGCATATGTATTTATTTTCTCTGTTTCTGTGCATGAACTACCATTCCCCATAACATGCAGTTTGAGGTTATGAGACCTAGGGTTTGCATTCTAAACACACTTTTTAAAGACCCTGATTGATTGAAAATCAGTGTTTAAATGCAACTCCTAATGAAAGAGCCCTTTGAAATAGTGCGCTTAGAAGCAGCCATATTAAGCGCCTAATAGATGTTGTGTATTAATATTATTATTATTAAACAAATATAATAGAGTGACTGAAATTGCTGTTCTCAAACTCTTATTACATATCTGGAATATCATTTTGTTTTGTGTTTTTATAGGAAATGGGCAAGTTTGCGCAGTATGTTCTGAGTCGTTTCTTCAAGGCCTTGCCCACCAACCCCAAGCTTGTGGTGGAACTCCTCTTCTGGAAGGATGCAAGGAGCGTCTATGAGATACAAGAAGGATACGGAGCAGAACAACCTAGCAAGTAAGATGACTTTATTATCGTGGTTCTGTTGGTTGTAGTGGTGCTGATGGTGGTGGAGGAAGTGGTGATGATGGTTATGGCAGTAGTAGTGAGAGTGGTGATGTTGATTCTGATTGTGATTCTAGTGGTGATGATGATGATGATGATAGTGGTTGTGGTGATGATGTTGGTGATGAATGATGTAGTGGTAATTGTTGTGATTACGGCTGTGGTAGTGGAGGAGGTGGTGGTGATGGTGTTGGTGGTGGTAGTAGTTGTGACAGTGGTGGAGCTGGTGATGGTGAGGTTGCCAGACTGTCTGATAATCTGCCATGTTATAGTTGTAATGTGACATTTTAGAAATATCCACATTCTCAATATCAATGGAGGAGACAATCAATACATTTCCCTACTACATTACACAATTATTCTCCTTTCTCTGAATACAGGAAGAGCAAAGCAAAGGAATGGAATGAAGAAGAACAGGCTGAGTTAGCAGGACTCTATGAGCAATATAGAGATGTAGATGGAGGAGGTATATAAGCATCACAAAAAAATTCAAAATTGTTACAGCTTTATAAGAGTCTCGTAGCCAAGGAGAGGTGAAATGAAAGGTGCAAAATGTTGGCTATTTGCAACTCTCCTTTTAAACATAGATCTGTACATTCATATATCTGTTTTCTGTGAATAGATGCAATGCTGATCATTTTTTTGTCTATTGAATTCTGTTATCTATATATATCACAAGTTATTTCTTACACTCCTGAATTATTCGTATTTGTGAAATCATTTGGTCATACTCATTTAAGTTTAGATATTCTGCAGGTATTAATTATTTTTTCACATTAATTTTGTTTTATATTGGTTTGGTTTTACTTTGATTGTGTAATCTTCTACCAGTGCATGTAAAAATGTTACATTTTAAAGACATTCAACCTTGTATCGATAAATGCTATGCATTTTGCCACAGCATGCGCTGCTGAATATTCTTACATTTGTAGATGTGTAAAATCGTGTCTTGTTTTTTAAAATACTGTTCATTTACCTTCTTGTGATTTTCTAGACAAAGATGCGGTTGATCTCATCATGGAACATCTGATTGATGACACCAAAACTAGAAGACAGGTAAGCTAGTTTAGTTTTAAAGAGAAAACTTTAATGATAAGAGAGAGTTTATTCCTAGCTATCACATAATTTAAGTCGGGCTGTACTTGACTTTTTTACCTTTTTTTTCTTCCATGTATATCTTTGGAAAATAAGGTCTTCTTTAAGGTTCCATACTTTGGAAACTAATGAGTCCATTTACACAAGTTTGAACTACATTTTTCTCCTTCCTCTCCCGGTAGATCATCACGCAGCTTGTGAAACAAGAATTGGTAGACAGTGCTTTAGATCTCAAGAAGACCAAAGGGTGAGAATATGGATTATAAACTTTGCTTGTAATGTTGTACACAATAGACTTTTCTGAGGTTCTTTGAATGAAATGTTATGATTGAGGGTAGAATCAAGATTAATACCCAAACAATAATATTATTCATTCTCTGTTGTGCTCCAGTTAAGAAATGTTTCTTTTTGTTAAACATGTCTGCCTCACAGGAGACATTGTGGAATCAAGTTATCCGTGTTAAAACTCTTCACAACTATCATGCTGTATGATAGGAAGATCAATCAGATAACAAATTTGATGTCAGATGAATGTGCATTAGGTTTCCATTTCCATTATTTCCATTCACACCCCACAATGAAAGAGATAAACTGCAGTGATACAGTATCCCAAAATTTGCCAACTATTGATAACTTTGAGTCTGCATGGTGTAATAGCTGTATCCCTTGTGCAACCGTGACTCCACACTGCCCCTTTTCTTTTAACGGGTCAGATTGATTTTTTATGATCTGCATGCTAGTGCCTTCTGTTTTAAAACTTTTAGGGGTCTGGAGTTAAAATTTGGTGGAACATGCACACTGTATCTCTGTTATTGTCAGGCCATTCTGAAGGAGGTTTCTAACATAGTGCAATTTTTGTTTTGTAGAGCCAAGAGGGTAACGCTGTGGAGAGAGGAACACGAGTTGGAGCTGAGGGCTCTCTTTGATCAACACAAGGATGCTAATGGTATGTGTTCATTAAAAGGTGTTTATTATAAATATGGTATGAATATCAAATATTTAACAGTATAAAGCCCAATATGGTTTCTTTGGTACATGCAGCACACATTAAATTAACAGCATATTCATATATTTCATGAAGCGAAAGAAAACACTGGGCTTAAGACACATTAAAAAGTTTATAACAATGGCTTTTTTTTTATTACTTATTATTAATTGAAGCAAAAAGAATGTGATGTGAACCATTAGAAGAAGAAAAAAAAGGAAATGTTCTTTTTAAGTTTGATTTTTATGCAGTCTTGGGGGCTAATATCGGGACTGATTTTCTCCTGCAGATATTGTTGGTACCATCATAGAGCACATGGCTGAGAAGAGGTCCAAGAACAAGGTCACACAGAAGATCCTAGACATGGGCCTCGTCCAGGACCGTAAAGAACTCTACAAGAAACGCAGGAGGAAGGCTGACGATGGAAACGGGACAACCAGGAGGAGGCGTAGAAGATATCGTCATGGAGACGATGAGGTACAGATTTTAAAGTTCTATTTGGTTCTCATGTAGCATTAACATTTTTGTCCTTGAAATTATTTTTGTTGTAGAGATCCTTCAATAGATCGGTTTCTTTATTCCTTGCAGTGTCGGTACAAGAAGGGATTATTGTCTTACACTGTGAATTAATGTGTATGCAGATCAGAGTGCTTAATTGTTATTTATCTAAATTTTATTTTCTACATCTGTTTTATTTTTATTTTTCATTTATTATTTAGGATGGCTTTGATGATGCAGCTGAAGAAGATGATGTGTATGCTGATGGTTTACAAGGTAAGAACTTCAAATAATTGTGATAGTGATGTCAGTGATAGCTCGAGCATCATCAATAATTTAACATGAAGGAAACTAAAGCAACAAAATTGGAGTAGGTTATTAAAAAGAAGGAAAGGGAAAAAAACGGATAATTGTATTTATACTATAATTTTGATGATATGAAAGATATTTGTTTGAAACAGCATATACTGATTTGTAAGTAATGTCATAAAAAATGGATGATGAGACTAATTTTTTTGAACTGGTGATGAACTTAATTGATGCCAGAAGGGCATTATCTGTGTGTTAAATGTACAGGTATATGAGTAAGTGCCCTACTGGCTCCAAACACACACTATGCCATTTACAAGCTCCTAGAAATATAACTCCTTTTCTATCTTCTCTCCTTTTAGAATTTCCAGATTCCGAGCCAGACTACACGTCCTCTAGTGATGATGGTAGCAACGATGGTGATGAAGAGAATAGTGATGAAGAGGAAGAGGAAGGAGACGATGATGATCAAGAATTGCCACTGGATGATGTCATCGTTAAACTTCAGAGGAAAGGTAGATAAAAGAACAAGGACATCATTTCATATTATCCTTGGTCATATTACTCATATAATTAATAAGTGTAATCTGATGGTGTATCTTGTAATTTCTTTGAAAAAATGTATCTTGTAATTTCTTCGAAAAAACATTAGTCAGCACTTTCTGCCATTAATATTTTTTGAAGATTTTTATTTAGTGCCCTTTCAGCACTTCCAATGTTACAATATGCTATTATGTGACCTTGATATTACGGGTGATTTATTTGTTACACCCCAGTCACACCGATGAAGCCAACACAAGACTGACGATCAACCGACCAAAATATGATATCATGAAAAATGGCCAGTTAGCAGTCAGGTTTGGAGTTGGTTCAGTGGTATGACTGGGGTATGAATAGTACAGTAGATTCTTAGTTTCGCATCTAAACATGATTTCTTGTTTTGATATTTTGATATGAAGCAAAAGCCTGATGGTATCTTTCCCTTTCCTTTCTAGGGTTAGCGGAACAGATTCGATGGATACAGGAAGGTTTGAGGAGGACTGCTGAGGACAGAGAAGAAAGTGGTGAGAATTTAAACGGGATGAAGGATTTTTTTTTTTTTTGAGGGGGAGAGATGACATTGTGTATTCATTTATACTTTTATATTGCCTATCCTGCTTATAGAAACTTGGTAATTATAGTTTGAAAGATTAAATTCATGTCATATTCAAATTTAAAAGTCAAGAGCGAGGAAGAAAAAAAAAAAAAAAAAAAAAAAGTCAGCCAACTTAAATTTTAATTGCAATCGATGTCAGAATTGTCAGCTCACTTTTTTTCTACTTGATACGAAATTTTTTAAATTTCAGGAGATAACCAGGCCATTCCAATCGTCCCATTGTCTGCAGAGAGTGGTGTTGCCATGAGGAACAAGGCTTTCCAGAAGTTCTTGAAGAGAATTGGTCTCTCAGAACCTAGATCACATGAGGTAATGATTTTGATGTTTGATAATGTTTAAATCACAATAATTCAAATGAATAGATGTCCAAAATCAAGTAGGGAAAATTCTTTACATTTTTTGGTTAGTCTTTGCACGCTGGTATCATTGTTCAACTCCCCTTTTCATATTTTATTTTCATTTGAAATTTTGTTATGAATTTTCTACCCTTACAAAGAGAAATAAACGTTTTTTATAATGACATTGATTCAAATGATATTTGATGTCAAAGGAAATTTGACAATCCATTCCTATATTTTTTTACTTGAAATACATAGATTTGTAAATTATATTTCATGTAATTTCAGGAATTTGCTTTCATATCTGCCAAAAAAGTGTAAATCATGTCCGATGTGTTTTTGATATCACAGGAAGTGTACTGGCGCATGCCTGGAGAGCTATCTGCCTCTACACTGCGGGAAATAGCAGACTCCATCGAACCCAAGGAAGGCATTGAAGTAGTACCTACACAACCCAAGAAGAGCGGCAAGAAATCCAAGGCTCGCTACCAGATGCTGAAACAGATGGCGCTCTCCAAACGTAAGGAGAAGGAAGAGAGACAGTCGATCCGCCAGAAACGCAGAGAGGCTAGACAGTCGACAGAAGGACCAGTGAATGAAGAGAGTGTTGCTGATTTATATGATGCAGAGACTGATGTCAGCGGAGAGGAGGAGGAGGAGGATGTTGGTAAACCGTCTGCTGGAGGACAAAGGTCGAGGATCAAGAGGTCGCTGCCCAGCGACTCCAGTGATGACAGGTCAGTTAATTCCCAATTGAGTTCATTTATACCATGAAGGAAAAGTGATTTGATATAGCCACAGAGATATTAAATAAAGCAATAAGATTGGATGTGAACTATTATGATCATTAAATCCTTGTTTCCAGGTTAAAAAGGGCTTTTAACTATGAAATATAGTTTTATACCTCTTAATATGTATCTATCATTTGATTTGGGTGATATTATTATTATCAAAGTATTAGTCATCATCTTTTATTAAAGTCAGCATTTTTCCTCTCATGTGGGGTCACTGACTTTCGCGCCATGTTGGCACTTCCTCCACTACTTCTTGTCTCAAACATCCACTTCATTTAGAGGCAGTAAGGAAAATTAAATTGATTTGAATAACTTTTAAACTTGGTGATGTTTCACTGCAAACTGTCAGCTCTCTCTGGAAATGACCAAGATATTTCTATCATTTACTTTACATTTATGATGTTGCTCAGTGACATAGGAGGCTTACCCCAATCATCACATCTCTTGATTATTTTGTAATGAATTTTGACTTGGTAAATTTTAGTTACATCTTTATCAAATCTTAATATTATGCTTTTACCTTTGAACACAGTGATGATGACAAACTCAGCTCCTTTATGAACAGACACCGAGTAGACTCATTGCCTCAAGAGAAGCCAGCAAAACGTAGCAGACTGGTGTCCAGTGATGATAGTGATGATGAAACAGACATCAAGACTCCCGTACAAAAGAAGAAGAAGGACATCAAGCTGAACAAACAAGCGCGCTTGGTTTCTAGCGACGATGACAGTGATGAGGATAGATTGGAGATTGATGAAGGTGTTTCCACTGCCAAGTCATCTCCAGTCTCCAAGACAACAAAGCGCTCTAGGGTGGTTGCTAGCGATGAAAGTGATGAAGAGAAGGAAGAAGCTGAGGAGGAGGAAGAAGAGGAGGAGGAGGTGGACGACACCCAAAGCGAAATCTTTGATGTGATCGTTAAGCCACCAAAGAAAACTCTGAAGAGGCAGACTCCGTTTGATTTCAGCGATGAGGAAGAAGATGAGGAAAACCAGGCGGAGTCTGAACCTGTTGCCATGGCTGCAAATGAATCTGCATCTCACGACCAGTCTCTCCATCTCGTGCTCTCCTCAGACAGCCCCAGCGATTTGGATGTGACGATGAAAGAGGGTGCAACCACCGAAAACGAGGATCCAGAGGACGTTCCAGAAGATGATCCCATGGAGGACAATGCCAGCAATTTTAAGAAAGATACCACAAACAATGCAACCAATGATAATGCTGAGAACTACCTGGATAACAAACCAATGGAGGAGAGTGATGCAGCCGAAGTGGTTGAGGATAACGAGGAGGAGGGAGAGTGGGAAGAGATATGCGATGATGGTGAGCATGGTGATGTTATGTAATATGAAGAAGGAAGAAAGTTAATGATCTATCAAGATGTTTTGGATATTGGAGTGTCATGTCATGCTAGACATATGTACAAAATCAAAATTCAAAATTCTGAGTTTCTAAACAACTTCCTCTTTCATTTCTGTAGTACCAGGTAGTAATAAAAAAAATTCTTCATGCACAACGTGTCAAGTATTGTATAATAAGACACCAAGTGATATTTTATTCAAGATCATTCTGAAAGTACAGAGTATTCATTATTCTCAATGATCTTGTCACGTTTAAATTACAGGGAGTGTACACGAGTGCTTTAAAAAGATTTGAGCGTGATTTCTGTCTCGAAAAATGTAATTTGACATTTATATGAATCCAGAGGAAGCAACATATACTTCATTGATTGGATTTGCTCATGGTGTAAAGAATGAATAGAAAAGAAAGATTCTGGCTGAAGTGATTTGGTGGTATTCAGATTAAGAAATCCAATTCATATTTGCTTGACTTTTGTTCTATCGTTCATTATGAATATTTGCTTTTTAAATTCTATGTGACCTCACTTTTCTTTTATTAATTTGATTTATCTACCTTCTTCTTTCCGACTTCACAGATAGTGATTTTGACATGACCTCTAGCAACCAACGAGCAACGTCTGCAAGCCCTGCAGTGGAAGCATCTAGCGACAGTGACTCTGATGACGATGTCCCGCTGAGAAAGGTTGCCAAGCGGAACGTCATATCATCCGACAGTGAAGATGAATAGATAGATCAGTGGAAGCATATAGCGACAGCAAGACATATGATGATTTGCCATCAAGAAGGTTCCTAAGTGAAATGCTATCTCTTCAGCCAGTGAGGATGAAGGGTAGATCAGAAAGAAAGACACAGAGCGATAACTTGACCTAAATGTTTTTGCAGAGATATTTATATCTGTTTGTACAGTTGACTGAGAAATATATTATACCGGTAGACTTTTTGTAACTTGAGATGTTCCCCTTGTTCATACGTAGTACATGTACTATCATGTTTCTTGTTATATGTATCATGAGATGTAAAAGTGTATTATTGACTTCCTGTATATAAACTGTATTGTGGAGGGCCGATTCCAAGAGATTTGGAGAAACCAAATCTTCTTCCTAAAGAGAAGGTGGTACAAAAATGACAAACAAATCATTACGAATAATTGTAGTAAAGTGTTGAGCTTTCATTCAATTATCTTTCTGATAGATGTATAGAAAATGTTGGCATAGTGAGAATGTTATGTTTTGTCTGTTCTTCCTAAACTTCATATAAATTGATGGAGAACATCACTTTTATTAGGTGACGTTCTTAAAGATAAAGATCAGTTATGGTCTTGCGATTGCATTGTGAAAGAAACTTGGTGGAATCGATCAGAAAAGGTTGATCACCTAGCATATAAGTATTGGTGTGAACTGCAAGGTTCTGGAATCATCAAAATGATAAGAAATTTGGCCCTGGCTTGGTTAAGTTAAAAGCACTGTACACAAAAAGATGTATATGGGACTACGCCACATGTGCGCGATATCTATCAGGTCCGAATAGATATATCTTACCAAATATATCAATTAGTAGGCCGTTTCTCGGCGAAATTTGTATTATTACGTATTAGTCAAAACATATTCTGTCACATGATTGGTAATAAGAGCTTCCGATTCATTTTTTGAGAGGGGGGCCTTTCCAAAATTGGTCTTTACCTTTAATCCTACATATATTATTTTGAAGAAGAAAAAGTTTTTTTTTCTTTCTTTCAATGTTTTAGTCAAGAGCAGGATGTGCCTGCAAAAAGTTTATCCAGAATAAAAGTGCTCTAGAGTGTTTAATTTATTCATAAGATGCTAATGGTACTGTGTACCTCAGAATGGCAATGGTTTTAGGTCATAGGAGTAGACACCAATGATTAATTGTCCACTTATGTTGAAGTGGCTTGATTTCTTTACGTTACATGACCACTATTCATTTTCTACTAAAATTGCAGATACCATTCACTCTTTTTTTGAACATGTAGTGCAAGGTTAGCTGTATCAAATTTGTATTTCTTTGTTCCTTTTGTTATTGTACATGCTATAGATGGAAAATGTTTTTCCAATTTTGTTTATACTGTATCTAGAAAACTGTTATTGAACACGTTTTATTTAACACTATCTCTTTTCACCCTGATCTTCATGTAGTCTGATAAATCCGACATTGATAAATAGAAAAATACAACCGCCCCCCCCCCCCCCCCAAAAAAAAAAAAAAAAAAAAAAATATATATATATAAAATATTAAAATAATAATAATAATAATCCTATCTATATAATAAGTGTCAGATTTAACAAACTACATCAACTCACATTTCCTTTTTTCTTTTCTTCCTCATTATATGAACCTGGTATTGAAGTCTAAAATGATGTTGCTGTTTAAACAAACACAATGTCATTTAACATATGGACATCCAAAAATACAGTCAGTAAATAAAACGTGTATTCAAACTAAGAAAAAAATAAACATAAAGCTGCTTGTGTTTGTGTGTTTATTTCATGCTCTTTATTAAGTCAATACATATTCAATTCAGTACAAAAAAGAAAAAAATCATACACATTTACACTTTACACACAACTGGCATAGAATATGAACATGTACTGATCAGAATATGAAATACACTTTCCCATTATCACTTAAATTTAGCAATATAAATGAACGCCTTTTTTTTAAACTTGTGTTATAGATGTTGTCTCTGAAAGAGAAGTACTTTTACTGTTGACCTGTTAACTTTCAAATGTATGTGAGTACATTGAAATAATGGGGAAACGTTCACATAATGCCACAAACTACACCACTTCACATCAAATCTACAAGGTCACACTGCTTTATACATTATATTGCAATAATTTTGAAATTGATATCTTTAGTATATTTTGGTTCAACAGGGATAAGAATTATCGGAAGCATGCCTGCTTGTTGACTACTCGTCATCAAGGCTACCTCGTATCTTTTTCTAATGCAAGAAGAGTCTTCAACCCGACCAGAAAAATACTTGCAAATATTACGAATGGTTGGGATTCACCAATGTTTTGTGCAATTAATAATCGGATCACAACTGAAAAAACACTGAATTTATGCAATTCATGAAGATTTCTTTCCATAGAAATAGTTCTCGTTTACAAATCCAGGGAGATAAATGATCCAATGAGTGATAAAGCCCACTGATATTCCCCCAAAATATGTGCATGTTTGCAAAGCTATCACCAGCCATGAGTCTGAAGGTGTGTTCACTCTTAAATACCAACGATTGATACGATTTAATGCCCTTCTGGCTCTAAATAGATTATATGGTTAATAACAGAAGGAATGATCAGCCAGAGATACGCCCTGTACTCTGAATAAGGGTCATAATATGCCCGAAACCATGACATAATCAACAAAACTAATATACAGGCTTGCACATATCTCAAGAGAAATGTTTTCAAATAATTCAGTAACCTTATTATGGACTAGGGGCTGCAAAGCAGACTATCTTTGCTTGAACTGCATACAAATGTTTCTACAAGGAATGAGCATAAGCACCCAGTGTGTATCTCATGACCCAAGCACACCCACTCTCCTCTTATCATGTCAAATCAGCTGAAAGCATACAAGACCCACATGGTCTTCTTTACAATGAACAACAGAGGAAATGCAAATCTTCCTACAACCGCTAAACAAATGCATTACACAGACAGAAGCAATTACAGAAATGTTAGGTCAAACCACCCGTTCACCTCTTCTATTCAGCTTCCCATCAAGAAGTGTTATCACATATCCCCCCATGAGATAATAGATCTCTTGCTTAGACAACTTCAGATCAACTGTGGCATTTCTGTGGTAATTCTGTCATATGTCCAAGTACAGGGCTGGCCACACATCATCGATAACTATAATGATAAAAATCGGTCTTTGTAGAAAAGGTATTGAATAGAAGAAAAATGTTCAATACATGAAATGTTAAGCGAAACCTGCGTTAATAACCGCCTGTATAGAAAGACCACCCTTCTGTAATTTACTGTTTCCCTTGAAGAAGGGAACCTGTTCACAAATACCGACTGCCTATGAAGACCACTTTCTTTGCCTCTCTTGAGTGGTCTTTATATACAGGTTTCTCTGTTCATACCTTTTTCTACATACACCAATTGTTATCATTACTGATGATATGTGAACAGCCCTTAACATACCAAGTGCCTTTCCTTTGGCTGATGCCTTTAACATTTGCTCCCTTTGCATATAAATTATCTACACTACTTGCTATTAAAGCACTTGTGAGGGTGTGCTTAATAACCTCCTGGTGCTCTGATGTCATCTATTTTCAGGATCATCCTGACGAGCTGAGAAGCTAGGTTGATCTGTTGCTTCTTGCCAATCAGAGTCTCAAACACATGCTGCTCCTTCATGTCTGTGTGGAAACAAGAGAGAAATGGAACATGATCACATATTTCTTGGGGTTTTATACACTAAGCAGTAACTAATTACACTTTTTGGAGGAACTCAATAAACGCAATGAAAATACGAAAGCAATATTTTGGCATGGCATGGCTTGCTGGCACCATAAACATCATCTAAAAGAATCCAGGGGAACTTTTCACGTCTTAACTACTAGTTTACCGGCATCCCATTGAAACACATGTTCAATTTAATACATGAATTTCAATGGGTTGTCGGTGACCATGTGCATAGAACGGGTTTGTGATACCCTGCCTAGATGTCAGAGCAGATTTTGCAATAATCTGTTTCAAAGAACGCAGAAAATATGTATTTTATACATCAGGTGCACAAGCAAACAATTGTTACTTACTTCACAACCGTAGAATTTAATCCAAAATTGTAGAAATGTAACCATACTGGCAATAAGCAAGATTTCATTAAAGGTAAAGACCAGTATTGGAAACGCCCCAATTTCAAAAAATGAAATGGAAGCTCTTATTAACAATCACGTGAAAGAATATGTTTTGACTAATACATGATGATAAAAAATTTGCCGGGAAACCACCTACTAATTCATATATTTGGTAAATTTGTTTCTCTCATGGTCTGTGAGAGATATAGGGTAGTCCCATATACATATTTCTGTGTATAGTGCTTGTAACTTCACGAAGAATGGGCCAAATTTCTTATCATTTTGATGATTACAGAACCTTGCAGATGCTAGATGATCAACCTTTTCTGATCAATTCCACAATGTTTCTTTCACTATGCAATCGCATGACCATAACTGGTCTTTACCTTTAAGCTCCAGTCAAGATTACATCTGGAACCCATATTATGCAAGAGATATTGCTAGTCATGCTAGTAAAATTCAGTTGAATAATAAGATCATATATAAAAGCTGTTTAAAAATCAAGAAATCAAATATAAGATTACTTATCCACTTTGCTATATTACATTCCATAAAAATACAACATTGTCACTTCCCTATCAAGGGATTATAATAAATATAGACATCTCAAAAAGCAAGTCAGGAAAGTGAGCTTGTCAGAACCCACAAAGCACGTTTTCGAATCATGAAATTTCATAGCCCAGTGCTAGTCATCATACTTGCTTGAAACACAAACGATTTATTCTAATGTTTTAATCTTCATGTGATAAAGCAGCGGAGTAATCAGCTGAATGCATACGAAAGCCATGTCTCCTTACCATTGGTTCCGTTGCCCATACAGTCAATGCCTAATCTAGAGTTGTTCTCCTTCAGCTGTCTTGACTTGACATCAGCCACTGTGCGGATTGGGTGAAGACCACTGTTTTCTGCAAGGGCCATAGGGATAGACTCAAGGGCTTCAGCAAATGCATGCATGGCATACTGTTCTATGGTCGATACCTAAGGAAGCAATGGGAGTGAACAAAATAAAACATGAGTTTTTATAGTAGTATGGCTATGATCCCAGTGCTATTTGCATAACCACTACGGAAATCATGTGGAAATGGGTTATACAACGAGTTCAGATTAAAATAATTACAAGACCGACCTATATTCTATAGAATTTGTATGTTATTGGAATGGTCAATTTCAAACCAATTTTGAAAATTGATCCAAGGGACAGCTTATAACATTTTAAAACAAAGACCTACTGAAAATGTTTTGATTATATATAAAGGCTGTTAAAAATCCAATACAACATTACTAATCCACTTTACTATATTATATTCCACGCTCCTACATTTCATAAAAACTGAGCCAAAGGATATATCATACAACATTGTCACTTCCCTATCAAATATTGAGGGATTATAAATATAGACATCTCAAAAAGCAAGTCAGGAAAGTGAGCTTGTCAGAACCCACAAAGCACGTTTTCGAATCATGATATTTCATAGCCCAGTGCTAGTCATCATCCTTGCTTGAAACACAAACAATAAACAGTAATCTGTAGGAGTTATCTCCTATAGGTATACTTACCCATTCAGCTTGTTGACTGACTGCAAGTGAGCAAGCAATCTCAGATGCACCTCCACCATATACAATATTGCCACTCTTGACCAGATTCCTAATGACACACAAGGCATCATGAAGACTGCGCTTTGTTTCTTCAACAATCTAAACGGTATAAATATACAAGAAATTATATGTAAAGGCTGTTTAAAAATCAAAAAATAAATACAACATTACTAATTCAATTTGCTATATTACGTTTCATTTCAAGTTGAGCCAAAGGATGTATCATACAACACTGTCATATCTCCAAAAGCAAGTCAGGAAAGTGAGCTTGTCAGGGCCCACAAAGCACGTTTTAGAATCATGAAATTTCATAGCCCAGTGCTAGTCATCATCCTTGCTTGGAACACAGACCATAACAAAATTCAAACTACATCAAAACATGTCAAGTTATGCAGAATATTGAAGCTACAGTTAATCAAGAAAAAAAGGTAGACTGATTGAATTAGGGTCTTTGTTTAGTACTTTTATTTGTAAGCTTTACTACTTCGCATTCTCAAGAAAGATACACGACGTCAAATCAATTTTTCACATACTAAACAAATGCTACTGCAATGCTACTGAAATGTTATTGCCAATGTGAAATGTATAACTGCAACATTTACTGACTTGAAAAGCGAAGTCATCTTGTTTAAATGCTATCTCTCTTGATCCTTTACCTTTCAGTAAAGGACTATGTTACTGGTCTCTAATCCTATCAAGACCTCACAAACAAATTGGAGGTCACTTGACACTCTCTTAATAAGATGAGCTCTAAAAGACAACCATCTCTCACCATCTTGTTGCCTCCTCTAATGAAGATGGTGACTGCTCTTGAATTATGGCAATCCTCGATCACCAGCATCTTATCCCTGGTCGTACCAAAGTCGATCTCTCGGACGATGCCTGCCTTGCCCAGCTTGTCGGCTGTCAGCTCACTAAACCTGGGTACAATGCGTCCACCAGTAGCAATGGCAATCAGCTGCAAGAAAAATTTAATTGAATTATCATAAGACATGCTACAGAATTAGTCATCCATATCAAAAGCATGGCAGGCCTGCCAATTGTCTGGGTAAACACAATACAAAATTACAGGAAATATTTTGACTAGAAATGAAATATATAATAAAATACAAATTAATACAGGAACCTAGGCAGTGTGATAAGTATCACAACATGCAAATTATAAAGCTTCACAAAACATCAACAACTTTCTATATTCCAAGATCCCCCCCCCCCTTGAATTAAACTAGATGAAGGGTATATGTAATTATGGAACCATACCCAGTCTTCTGTTTTAACCTTTTTATTTCTGATCATTTTGCAAGTCAGTTGAGTGAGCTTGTCAGAACCCACAAAGCACGTTTTAGAATCATGAAATTTCATAGCCCAGTGCTAGTCATCATTCTTGCACAAATAAAAATGTATGGAGTTGTATGAACATTAACTACCACAAAAATGCACATGTATGTCTAATCTTTCCACCAAGTCTGCTTGAAACTGCTTCAAATGCCTTAGTAAAGAATTCTTAATTCTGAAAAGTTAATTCAGTTTAACTGATCACCAAAACACTTCTATTATCAAGACAAATCATTTTATTGACCCTAATACGAAATTCTGAGCTCAAGATGAAAACGATGAATCAAAAAGGAAAGAAATTCAACCGTACCTCTATTTCTGGACCTCCGACCCAGCGGACAGCTGGTAGCTCTCTTTGTAGTAGAAGATGATTAGCCTCATCATCAAAGCCCCACTGACAGATAGCAAGATTAGCTCCTGTTGCTTTCACCTATATCACAAAAGTTGGAATATAAATTCATGATGGCAAGTGTAATATCTATGGAGGGCCATACTGAATATCGAAATTGCTGTGACAAAATTGATACAACTAATATATTGAATGAAGTTGATCGCTATTCTGATATTCCATTAATATTTCATAAACTATTTCTTCAGTGCATCCTGACAGCTACCAATCTTTTCAAGTATAGAAGGTTCTAATTTAAAATGTTTTTGGATGGATAAAAATAACTACATGCAAGTCAGGTAAGTGAGCTTGTCAGAACCCACAAAGCACGTTTTAGAATCAAGACTTATCATAGCCCAGTGCTAGTCATCATCCTTGCATCTACCCTAAAAAGATGATCCTAATTATAGATTTTACATCAGCTTTACAATGTTGGCTCTCTCCTACAAAGTGTGAATATCGATCTACTCTACATGTTTGAGGTTTTTCATATAGCGCTTCTCCCTTTCACCTATAAAGTGCTTCAAGTCTTGGCAAACTTTATACATACCATGCTAACTTCATTTCTTTTTTATGTATTCCCCTTCTAATCTGATAAGATACTTTAGCATATAAGTAATTAACATACCTGTTCCACCATCTCTGTGAACTTTTTCTTCTCGTATTCCCTGAGTTTCTTGTAGTCTTCCACCGATTTGATATCAAGTTTATGTGTAGTCTTAGGCTTGGGTGGTTCAAAAGGGCATGTCAGGATAGCTATCTTGGCATCTTTTACTTCCTACAAAAAATAAAATTCAATTTGTTAATATTCAGCTGGGATGGAAATGATTAAGCCACAAGTATGTGGGGGAAGGGTAACTGAAAGGCACCTTTGCATTTTACACTAGACACATTTTTCAAGTGATATTGTGCTGTACTAGCAGCAAAAACAACAAACTTAAAGATCCTCCATAATTCAATACTGAATCTGTCTTGCTGTTCACGATTGAGCCCAGAGAAACTTATTTTAGTATGTCTCACAAATGACATAATCATGATAGATACAGGTTATCTATACATGTAATGAAAATCACATAGTGAGTTACTCTCGCATGGCTTGCTGGCCCCACAGGCCACAGTACAGTCAGGTGGGGAATTCCGATTACCATGCACAAATAACTTTAAAGGTTTGCAACCAGTATTTTAACCACAGACCTCAACTGGACTGAATCTATACCAGCCAGGTGATGACACATGATATTCAAGGAACAAATTTAAAAATCACGTATTTCATAATTCTATTTCAAGTTTTACAAACTCAGAATTTAAGAAATGGGACAAGTTCATGGGAGCAAAAATAAATTGTTATCGTATTCATATCAAGAATTAATCAAGAAAACTTTAGATAAAAGTAACTCACATCAGAAGAGAACTTTCCATAATGACCTAAGCTGCAATAAATCTATCTTTGAAGATATTGTATAATGTAGATAGATCCCCCACCCCCCCCCCCCCAGATAAACACTCTTCTACACACAAAAGAACCAAATTCTCTACTCCAAATCTGAAGTGTTTCTTGGAGAACAAGAATTTAAAAAAATTTCGGACCCTTTATACCAATCCTTCCCTCTCACCTTTGGCATCTGGGGATGACTGAAGTCCTTGTCAACGACCACACCCTTGACCAGCATGGTGTCTTCTAGCTTGCCTCCCACCTTGCTATCGACCTTGATGAGCTCAAAGTCAACATCCCTCCTCTCAAGGTCAGCTACGGCCATGATGGCGTTGACAGCGATCTCGGCCATTTTCCTCTGGAAACGACTGATGCTGTGAAAATGAAGTATTACAAAGATGGGAAGTTTATTACCTGCTATCCTTGCTATCTTTACTGGCAATACATTGTGTAGATAATCAGATAAATATATCAAAGGTGATTAAGCAATGCACTATTTTCTAGAAATATATTAGTAATCAATTTGAACAAAAAGCCAAGTGCTGAGATCGGTCAGCCTTATACATAGCAGCAAACTGAAATGAGAAGCCCATGGCTTTTGTAGAACATGCATTGCTGGAAATGGTTTGTGTTCTACAAATGTTTAGTGGTCTGTGATAACCATTTTCATAATGATCTAAACTTCATCAAATCCAGTTCTGCAAAAATTGGTTATCCTAAATGCAAGTCAGTTGAGTGAGCTTGTCAGAACCCACAAAGCACGTTTTAGAATCATGATATTTCATAGCCCAGTGCTAGTCATCATACTTGCGCCTTCAGAAATGAATCTCAATGACAAAGAACAAATTCTTTTCTTTTCAATTTCTATTGAGATTAATGGGACTTGATCTACACAAAATAAATAGTGAACAAGAATCCATAACAATTACATTTTTGATCCCAGAGTAGTCATGGCTGTCTGGATAAGTGGTTCAAGGTTGTCTGGGCTGACATCATAGGCATCTGCAATCTCATCTAATCTCCTGGTAGCTATCCTGGCAGCCATGTCGTAGCCATCAGCGATACGGATTGGATGGACCCCCCTATCCAGGAGCTGCTCTGCCTTCTCCAGCAAGGCTCCAGCAAGAACTAATCAAAATATGACATTGATTCATATGAGGTCTTAAAAAAAAATATGGCTAACTAAATGGCTAAACTTCTTGAGACTTACATTAGGGATTTTTAGGGACTGTATGCACACATCACTTGTTAACTATTATGAGACACCTGTTAGTGTTTACATGAAGGCTATGACACTGCAATTTGAAGGCAAGTCAGGAAAGTGAGCTTGTCAGAACCCACAAAGCACATTTTCGAATCATGAAATTCATAGCCCAGTGCTTGTCATCATACTTGCTGTAAAAAGATCTAAAAGAAGTGCACTGAGATTAAGAAAAGTGCACTAACATTAGAGAAGAAAGATGCCATATGTACGCGTAACTGTTACTCATCTTCATATTGTGGGATTATTGTCAACTTCTAACTAAAATAACAACAACTTGATATCTCTGTACTACTTTTATCTTCATTTATTGAAAAAGTATATACTTACCAACAACACCGGTTGTGCCATCTCCAATCTCATCATCTTGTGACTTGGCGAGTTGGACCATGAGCTTAGCAATCTGGTGGTCCACGTCCATCTTGTCCAAAATGGTGGCTCCATCGTTAGTTACTGTTACCTCACCATCAGGGCTGAGAAGCATTTTATCCAAGCCTGAATTCACGACAAAACACATTTATTTGTAAAGAATGTTGCACAACTTACAAGTTGCTTTGTAATGGTACAATACATGCTGTTGGTTTCAAATTATTCAAAAGTACTCATTAAGCTAAAGAAGTCTGGATAGTGTAAGGGACCGCCTCTCATAACGAAGTAGTTTCCTGCAGGCTGTACAACAGCATTAACAACACATTTTTTGCTGTGTCAGCTGCCATTTTGTTTTACATGTTAAATCAAAGTTTATTTTCAACGGAGTAGATCATAAAAGTTGAATTCACGAGATCTATGCAACAGGATGAAGCTTCTTCTATTCCATTCCCAACTGGACCATACATAGTAACTGGTAGAGAGCAAGTGTAGACTGCTCAAAAGATATGACAGGAATGTCAAAAGAGCCTCTTCTGATTATTTACCTAATTTCATCACATGCTTATTTAGCTTCACCACTGTCCATAAAAAAGTCATTAAGGGACTTACCATTTGGACCTAATGAAGTTCGTAATGTGTTAGCGACCGTCTTAGCAGCAAGAATATGAGACTGTAAGAAGAAAAATATTGAATGAGCCGTCAACGACCAACTAGAAAAAGGTATAAATTATAATATGCTTGTGAGTCAAATTAAAGATCCTCTATAATTTAATACTGAATCTGTCTTGCTGTTTGAGCCCAGAGAAACTTATTTAGTATGTCTCACAAATGACATCATGATAGATACAGGTAGTCTATACATGTAATAATTATCACGTAGTGAGTTACTCTAGCATGGCTTGCTGGCCCCACAGGCCACAATACAGTCAGGTGGGGAATTCCGATTACCATGCCCGATAAAGGTTTGCAAGTTGTATATTTAAACCACATACCTCAGCTAGTCGGTACAGAGACCCGTTTCACAAAACTTTTTATCAATGACAAATGACAAACAAGGCAAACGCTCTCGACAGTCTCACCTGCATTACGCAATTCGATATGATAAAAAATTGAGGTTGGAACATTATTTAGAGGCATTAGCAGGCCCCTCCCCCCCCCCCCCCCAAAAAAAAAAAATGAAAAATGAAAACCTCTGAATATAATCAGCAATGAGCATTTTGAAGTGAATATTGGCTAAGAATCATCAGAACAATTAATTACTATAATTTGTACCAAGATTGATAACTTTAATGGAATTTGAACAAATAATAAAACTTGATTTATTAATTCTCATGTTAAGTTGTGAAAACATACCGTAATCCAAGTCTACTGACCTAAAATGACCTTTGACCTGGACTTTGTGACCTGGAATTTGCGTCATATGATTTGTGATACTTGATAACCCTTGTGTACAAGTTATGTAATTTGAACACATGCTTTTTAAATTATGCTAAAAATTCAAAATCTTGATGTTGATACCACAACAAAGCCTAAAAAGTTTGCAGACCTTGAATTACATTTTACCTTGACTTTGTCACCTAAAAGACTTATCACATGATTGATGATACTTGATAACCCATATGTTCAAGTTTCATGGAATAGGAAATTAGGAATGTATACTTTCAAAATTATGATAAAAATTCAAAATCGTAACCTTTTGTTAAGTTTCTATGTTGATGCCACAACATAGACTAAGTTTGTTGACCTGAAATTAACCCTAAAAGTCGGGGCTTTGATCGGATCGGAAGATCTGAGCCACACCCTCGCACCTGTGATTGGTATCTATCGGCAAAAATTTTCAGCCTTAAAAAAAAATAAAAAAAAAAAAAAAAAAAAAAACTTTGCATTACACACCAATAGATCTAGAGTAAAGGAGCCCGTAATCGGCCAGCTCCAGTTTTCGGCTGATTGGTTGGATGCAAGGTAAAATCACTCTAAAATACATCGCATAATAGCATAACACATATCCCACACATACTGTACCATACCATGCCAGTGTCACTGAAGAACCACATTTGCAATGGAAAATATATCCTAAAATATCACATTTTAGCGATGTAATCGCCGGTCCCGCTACCCAAATCTGAAAAATCGAGTATCTTACGCGTGTCTGTAAGAAATATGGGTACCATAAAATGAGCTTTATTTCAAGTATTTTTCAGATTTAAAGCCCGATTTTGTGCTAGTCGCAAGCTCAAAAGTATGTCATCGCATGTATTAAATCAATGCAGCCGCACACCGCGACGCACACACGATATCTCTGTCTAATTCAGATTCCAACGTCCGATCACCGCTGTGCCTGTCTTCGGCCAGGCGAGCACCAGGGAGCTCCGGCGTGGGATACCTGCTCCGCCCGCTTGTGCTGTACATCAGCGCGGAAACGCACGGCGCGCGCGAGTGCTTCCTATTGACTTTGTACATGCGGCCGTAAACTGAAACGCTCGGCCGATAACGGGCTCCAAAACAGTGAAAATTGAAATGAATATTGTCATGGCAATTCGTGATTTTTTTCTGGGATTCTTTTTTTGTTTAAATAATAATAATATTTGCTTCATGATTTAAACAAGAAATGATAATAAATAGGATGTAAAGAGTCCTAAAAATAGGATTTTGTCTTAAGTGGCCGAAAACGGGCTCCTTTACTCTACTTAGGGTCTAGGCTATATGCTCAATGATCAACCTTTTCTGATCGATTCCACACCCTTTCTTTCACAATGCAATTGCATGACCAGGACTCAACTTTATCTTCAACTTATAACGTAAACTAATTGTCATTTGTCACCGATGAAAATGATAACTTCGAGCATAAGGATCATTCGCACAAACGCGGACAGATGCATCCACGAAAATAAGGATCGTCCGCATTTTCGCAGACGTTTCATATTGCCGTTCCGGGCGTTGGCGATGCGAAAAACAGATTTTGCAATGATTTTTTTGATGCATCTTACAGAGACTTAAGCTATGAGCAATAAATCCTCAGGAAGATGGACAACCGATAAAATTAGACGGTAAACTGGGGTTATTTTCTTACGTGGAATCCGCTTTTTGCATCGCCAGCGGTTTGGGAAGCCGAAACGTGCCAAGCGCCGATGAAAAAAAACGTCCTAGAAAATGCAGACGATCCTTTTTTTTCAAGACGCAATTTGTCAGCGTTTACGAGGATATCCTCATTTATGCGGACGGTCCTCATCCTCTGACCAGCGCCCCTACTGAAGACAAGGCCAAGCCAAGGGCAGGCCAAGGCATTCATTATTTTGATAAACTACAATTTATTCAGCAACTTTTCAATAGATTTTAATGTAGACCATGCAAAAATATTGGAACTGTGTGACTCCCCACTCTCTGCATAATCAAAAACAATGTTGGGGGGATTTGTTGTAAAACAGCTCTGATTAGGAGAGCAAGACAATTGAAATTTGAGAGATAAATCATGAAATACACACTGATGTAAGTTAGTGGGACTAAATATTAGACCTACCTTCTGGGCTTCGATCCCAGTTAATCTCGACTTAGAGTCTTGATCTCTGATGATGATGAAAGGCCGACCATATTCATCGAAAGCAAGAGATCCCATAGAAGACATTTTTACGTGAAAATTGGAGATCTCATGAGCTGATTTCTAGATGAGGATGGATTTCTATCGCCCTTTTCACGCCTGATTCACGTGAAAGATTCTAGAAGCCTCCAATATAATCTCACTACATTAGCCTCGTTCACTCCAATTTTTGTAAATCGATTAATAATTAAAAAAACATATAATCAAAAACATTTCTTATTTTTTCAACCAATAAAACCTTTTTGATAGACAATTAAATTATATTATTAATATTTTGATTACAAATATCTTGAAATAACTAAATTATATTTTCACTGTTGTCAGCCTCGTCCCTCTGGAGGTGATAACAACAACGGGACGTAACCAAGGAAATCCCCGTACAGACCAGACGCGACGCGATGCACCTGTTACACTGAAGTAAAGCGAAGCAGCCAAGATAAACCCTCGATGAAAAACCTTTTCTGATCGTTTTCGGAGGGCGTTTTTCAACATTTCCTCTACAAAAAACAATATTTTTGGTCACTTTCTTCAGGAGATATCTTACGTGTTGAGTTAGTAGCTAAAATAATGTCATTCTTCAATCTTACAGAACTGGGATACCAATATCCTATACGTGCACAGGTCAAGGAGCCCAACTCAGTATACTCCTACCATCTCGCCAACTCTTTACCCGCTGGATCGTACGTCTCGCACAGACCAGAAACTGCAAAGCTTCCACCGATTAACATGCATAAATACAACAAAGTCATCGAGCCTGTAGATAATCCAGAACATCACGGATCATATGTCAAATTTACCGAGAGATTGCATAAACATACACGATGTGCAAAAGGTAGGGTTTTAGACTTTTATTTAATGTCAAGTTTATAGATAGTATTCCTCAGCACTACATCCTGACTTATGGATCCTGCTGAGTATCGTCGTAGAAGTAGAAGTAGAAGTATTCCTCAAAATCAAATAGTCTATAGTCTATGTGGTATAGCATCTATTTCTATTTCTATTTCTTCTAGTCTACTTCTTCTTCTTCTTCTTTTTGAATATTGTTATGTTTTTTATTATTTTGTTTTCATCATTATTGTTACTATTGACTGAGAAAATGTAACAAATGTCAGATTCATATTATTAAGAAGAAATTAATGAATATGTAGGGTAAGATATAAAATGAATATCCATCATTGTTTATTCTCTTATATTTTCCCAAAACCTCATTTTATAATCGTAGGTCTCTGCAAGATATTATTATTATTAATTAGGTCTAGATCTATTAGATCTGGACTATATCAGTATGATTTTTAGGTAGACTCTAGTTTGTTATAATTGGGTTTTGAGCCTAACATTTTATTTTAGTTTTAAAGAACATCTCTAAAAAAAAAAAGAAAATTGAATATCTTCCTTATCAATATCATTTACTCCTGTCTTTGTCAGGTCCCAATGATATATACCGCAACCCTGTGACGACAGCTCAGCTCCCTGGATCCTGGTATAGGAAGGAAGTTCCCTTGAAGCAGAGTGAGCCTTGGACATACGTCCCCAGACATGTGTGCGTCAGTAGTGAAATGACAAAGTATGTATCATTCTTTATTTTCTTTCTTTTGTTTATTCTTCTGTTTTTCATTGTTTGTTGTTGTTTTTAATGGTAGAATTGAAAAGGCTGATGGAGCATGCTTTTTCTTTTCTTCTTTTTTATTATATAGTAAACCGAAACTGTTTTTTTTTTTTTTTACTGATGTCAACTATTGCCAAGATTAAAACCAGTAAAATATTTTGTATTGCTAAGTTACTTTATGTTAGTTAAAAGCAAACAAATAATTACTTAATATTTCGCAGTGATAAAGTCATTACTAATGCGATGGTGCATTTATGGCAAAAATGAGTTTTGCTGACAATTCGTCCTTGTTTTCACGAAGTGACGGTAGTGAGGAAAATCGTACACAAAGTGAATGCAATTTTTGTTCACTACCGTCACTTCGTGAAAACAGCGACGAATTGAATTAGATACATGTGTAAGTAGTATATTTTGTCCATTCACTTGTATTTTTTGCCATAATGTATTTTGTTTCAGTTTGTTAAATAACATAATGTGTATTATAACACAATGTGCAAATTGTGGATCTGTATGTCATACGTAAAATTGGGATTTCTTTTCCTCGCTATGTTTTTATCATGGCCCATGTTTGTATTCTTAATCAGCCCTGAGCCCTATTTCTTTAAACTTTTTATCAATAAAAAGTTATAACTAATGTTATAAGCTACTAAAAATTGTGGCATTTGATCGGCTGAGAGCAAATTTGTCATAGAAATTTAGCATTTGTTATTAATAACAAGTTTTACGATCTTGGGCCCTGTTTTTAAAAATACTTTTTACTCATTTAATTCATTTTTATGAGAGGGTGGACATATTATACATTTACTGATATGACTTTAAAGTGCCTTTCCATTATAATCTATTAAAAACTCAGCCCAGGATAAGTCATGCTTCATTTCATTTGAATTACTGTATGTACGATGACAATGTCTCAATGAGGTTTACATTTGTAATTGATATGCATTCTTTTATTTTTCTCATATTTCTTTGCAGATTTGTGAAGGAGATGAGCGTGACAAACAGGGAATTTTCTCTCTTCTAGAAGACAACAAATTTAAGGAACATTTCAGTAAAGCCTTATTATGGACAATAATTGTATTACACATTATGGAACACAAGCCTTTGAACAAAAATGTGCTTATGATGTGTACCAGCAATTGACACACAAATTCCAAGTCTATGTCGATGTCGATTGGATTGCTTTGGTGGATTTTGATTTTATTTTTGTATTCAATAACTTTAACATGATAACAAGAGTATTGAAGTCATTGTTTAATTTGCGGACATTTGGGTATCCTTTACTCCATTTTTTCTTGTTCATAATACTTGTATATTCACCTAATACCTAAATCGTCAAATCAGATTTGGATCTTGCCGCATATGATGCTGCTTCTTCTTTTCTCATAAATATTTTCTTTTTTACCTGAAAAACAAAAACAAAAAAATAATTTTGATGAAAGGGAGATGCAAGCTGTCTTTCTATATGGTTGAATATGCCTGTCTTTTACTATTTTTTTTAATTTGATTATCTCTACTTTGATACATATTGTGTAACCATGCAGGAAGCTGTATATTTATTGCTGCAATTCATCTCTGCTAGAGCATCAATATACAGAGTTTGGCCAACCTGCTTCTAGTTGCTTACAATATATGGAAACTGTTGTGTGTGTGTGTGTGGGTGGGGGGGGGGGGGCAAGCACAAAACAAGAGAATATACACCATGTTGTGATCAACACTAACTGAAATCTAGTCAGCCAAACTCTCAAAGTAAATGGCTCTAGCCGGTCTTTGCAGTTTGAACAAAACTTTGGGAAACTAGATGAACTGTACAATGACATAAAGTGTGTGTAAGGATGGTGTACTTCGCAGCATTATGAGAAGTATTATTATTTACCACCTGAACCATTAATGCCATTCACCAAGTATTCACCTTCAAATCGTACATCGAAATTAGAACCAAAGAACTCTTTTTGTCTTTATGTACATGTATTTCGAAGAAAGTATTTCAAAGAAAATATAGTGAGGTGTTCCTTGTTTTTTTTATGTCTTTCTTCACATAAACAAATATCTGCCTTTTCATTGAAACTTTCAACTTTTCCCTCATTTTCAAAGGAGAATGCTGCTTTGCAATATTTTATAACTTGGAATTAAATCGCAATTCACTGAAGAGGAAAAAACGTATGGCTGTAACAACAAAATGATCAAGTGAATATAATGTCTCTACCGCAAGAGGGCTCTTCACATTTTTCTCGTTGAAGTACATGTATAATCTTGTAACGTATAAACGAAATCCTTGATGTTTAATCATGTACATGTAATTAATGTAGTATTTGTTTTCCGTCATCCATAACAGACAAGATAGTGGAATATATATTTTAATAGTGTATTATCTTACTATTACCTTGTCTTGTTGGCTGAAACCTAGCTGTTTGACTTCCACGTTACTTGCATGTTATCGACTTCTTTACGAAGCCAAATGTAATTTCATTAATCAGTGTTGCAAAATGCGATGTGTTTATATCGATGTTTGTATATATTAAATAAACGTATTAATACTATATATCAAAACTTTCGTGTGTTTGTAGTTTTCGTTTAGTTGAAAGCGAATTTGTTCGTAAAATAGGTGATGTACTGAGTTACTGACCAAATTGTATTTGATTTTTCCTTGGAGACTAAAAAAGTTAAAACATAGCGGCACCATTGCCGCTATTTGACTGTGAGAGGAAAGAAATTATCATGACATAAGGGCAATTTAGTACAGGCGCGGATCCAGGGGGGGGGCGAGCGTGCCTTGCCCCCCCCCCCCCCCCGCGAAAAAAAAAAAAAAAAGAGAGAGAGAAGAAAGGAAAAGAAGGGAAAGGGAAAGAGGAGAGAAAGGAAAAGAGAGAAGAGGAAGAAGAAAAGAAAAGGGGGAAGAAAAAGATCGGGGGCCGAAAGGGCCTTGCCTCCCAGGCTGTTGCCCCCCCCCCCCCCCCAATCACAAAAATAAGAGAGAAGGAAGGAAAGGGAAAGAAAAAAGAAAAAGGGGAGATACTGGCGAACTGATAGGGGGTAGGGGGCTTGTGGGAAATCAAATTTAAACGTGGTTTATTTCTAATTCCATAATAACAAATAACAAATAATGCTGAAATGACATAATTTCAGAGATTTTTCCTCACTTTTTAGTAAATTATACCTTTTTATGTGACAAATTCCTAAATTTTCAGCCAGGCAAGAAATGTGATTCTTGAGATTCCTACATGTCAGGGCCCGAGGAACGGCGGGGATCGAGAGCCTCGAGCCCCCCCCCCCCCCCACCCCCCACTTTTTATGAAAAGGTATATTAAAGAAAAATAAAAAAGAAAGAGAGCAAGAAAGAAAAAAGAGTTAACTGCCAGTGTCAAAAAATAATGAGGCATCAAAATATGCTCATCTGACCGTGATTAAATGCCTAAAGCCCCCAAGCTTCCGGGGGCCTCTGCTGGCCCCTGGATTCCACCTAGGGCCCTAAGGCGGGCCCTTAGATGATCATCTGACGGTAATTTAATGTCTCAAACTCCTGAGCCTCCGGGGGCTCTACCGCCTCGACCCCACCAGGGGCCCTAAGGCGGGCCCCTGAATGCTTATCTGACCGTAATTTATAGCCCCTGAGCTTCTGGGGTCGGACAAGTTATCAAAATGTGTCTATCTGACCGCAGGCGCGTAGCCGGGGGGGGGGGGGGGGCTGTGGGGGCGGTCCCCGAAAATCGCCGTCAAAATAAAAAAGAGAGGAGAGAAAAGAAAGAGGGCGTAGGAATAAAAAGGAGCAGACAAAGAAGATCTTTGAAATTCAGACAAGGATTAAGAGTAGAGAACGGTACAACGCATCGTCTTCTTTCTCTAATGATTTAATAAAACGTCAAAGCTTCCGCGCTTCGCGCAGGAGGGGAGGGGGGGTTGGACTGAATTCAGACAAGGATTAAGAGTCGAGAACGGTACAGCGAATCGTCTTCTTTCTCTCACAATCTTATGAAACGTCCAAAATTCCGCGCTTTGCGCGGTAGGGGAAAAACTGAATTCAGACGAGGATTATTATCGAGAATAGTATAACGGATCGTCTTCTTTCTCTAATGATTTTAATAAAACCTAAAAGCTTCCGCGTTTCGCGCGGGAGGGGGGGGGGAAACTAAATTCAGACGAGAATTATTTTCGAGAACGGTACAACGAATCGTCTTCTTTCTCTAATGATTTAAATGAAACTTAAAGCTTCCGCGCTTCGCGCGGGAGGGGGGCGGAACGAATTTAGACAAGGATTAAGAGTCGAGAGCGGTACAACGAATCGTCGTCTTTCTCTAATGATTTAATGAAACTTAAAAGCTTCCGCGCTTCGCGCGGGAGGATGGAGCCTGAATTCAGACGAGGACTAAGAGTCGAGAACTCTACAGCGAATCGTCTTGTTTCTCTAATGATTTAATGAAACGTTAAAGCTTCCGCGCTTCGCGCAGGAAGGGAGGGGGAACTGAATTCAGACAAGGATTAAGAGTCGAGAACGGTACAGTGAATCATCTTCTTTCTCTCATAATCTTATGAAACGTCAAAAATTCCGCGCTTTGCGCGGTAGGGGAAAAACTGAATTCAGACTAGGATTCAGAGTCGAGAAAGGTAATACGAATCGTCTTGTTTCTCTAATGATTTAATGAAATGTAAAAGCTTCCGCGCTTCGCGCGGGAGTGGGGGGGGGGAAACTAAATTCAGACGAGGATTATTTTCGAGAACGGTACAACGAATCGTCTTCTTTCTCTAATGATTTTAATGAAACTTAAAAGCTTCGGCGCTTCGCGCGGGAGGGGGGGGGGGCCTGAATTCAGACGAGGATTTAGATTTAAAAACTGTACGACGAATCGTCGTTTTTCTCTAATGGTTTAATGAATCGTAAAAGCTCCCGCGCTTTGCGCGGACGGGGAAAAACTGAATTTAGACGAGGATTATTATCGAGAATAGTATAACGGATCGTCTTCTTTCTCTAATGATTTTAATAAAACCTAAAAGCTTCCGCGTTTCGCGCGGGAGGGGGGGGGGGAAACTAAATTCAGACGAGAATTATTTTCGAGAACGGTACAACGAATCGTCTTCTTTCTCTAATGATTTAAATGAAACTTAAAGCTTCCGCGCTTCGCGCGGGAGGGGGGCGGAACGAATTTAGACAAGGATTAAGAGTCGAGAGCGGTACAACGAATCGTCGTCTTTCTCTAATGATTTAATGAAACTTAAAAGCTTCCGCGCTTCGCGCGGGAGGATGGAGCCTGAATTCAGACGAGGACTAAGAGTCGAGAACTCTACAGCGAATCGTCTTGTTTCTCTAATGATTTAATGAAACGTTAAAGCTTCCGCGCTTCGCGCAGGAAGGGAGGGGGAACTGAATTCAGACAAGGATTAAGAGTCGAGAACGGTACAGTGAATCATCTTCTTTCTCTCATAATCTTATGAAACGTCAAAAATTCCGCGCTTTGCGCGGTAGGGGAAAAACTGAATTCAGACTAGGATTCAGAGTCGAGAAAGGTAATACGAATCGTCTTGTTTCTCTAATGATTTAATGAAATGTAAAAGCTTCCGCGCTTCGCGCGGGAGTGGGGGGGAAACTAAATTCAGACGAGGATTATTTTCGAGAACGGTACAACGAATCGTCTTCTTTCTCTAATGATTTTAATGAAACTTAAAAGCTTCGGCGCTTCGCGCGGGAGGGGGGGGGGCCTGAATTCAGACGAGGATTTAGATTTAAAAACTGTACGACGAATCGTCGTTTTTCTCTAATGGTTTAATGAATCGTAAAAGCTCCCGCGCTTTGCGCGGACGGGGAAAAACTGAATTTAGACGAGGATTATTTTCGAAAACGGTACAACGAAACGTCTTCTTTCTCTAATAATTCAATGAAACGTCAAGAGGGAGGGGGAACTCGCCCCTCCCTGCACCCACCCCCCCTCCCCGCATTACGTCACTGCTGGTCAATATTACGTACCAATATTTGGCTCGCATAATTTTAAATTTGGGCCCCCCCCCCCTAAGAAATCCTAGAATCCGCGCCTGATTTAGTACATACACGTTAAAAAAAAAATCCTTAAGATAATCTGAAAATAAAAATATTCGAATCACATTTATTTCTTCTCAAAAGATCGTTCACCTCGATTATTTACAAATAATAATGAAATTGGCTTCGCTTTGTTATTGATTTCAATAACCCATGCCTGATGTTTTTTTCTTGATTGGCGGATAGCCCTAGCCAGCGTGTCGAAGATTTGAACAATAGAGGGTTTACAATTTTGAGGGTGTTGTAACTATGTGCCGACGATTTTTTTGTAATAAGGGTACCACCCGACCCCGGCTACGCTAAAACATCTTGTTGCGAGTTTAGATGGCAAACAAAAAAGAGTACCCCTGTTCAGGACATGTCGATATGTCCCTGAGTGAACTCTAGAAACCTGAAGGGGTCTTCAAAAAATCGTTTGAGCATTCATATTACAGTTTTTGTGTTTTAGAGTTCACGCTCTCCGGTAACCGTATAGTGACGTCTCCCTCTTTCGTAGTGTTCCCTAATCATTCTATCTTCCACGCGCCCAGCATCCTCGGCGAGGCAAATTATGATGACGCGTATGATGATGGCCATCATACATGATGAATCATGACTTCGTTGGTGGTATTAATGATGATCATCCCAGGATGATCAATCCATTATCTCGACCCGACACCTTGTTATTTCTCTTTGGCTCTTACAAAACAATCCATCAAATCAACACGCGAGGTAATCAAAACACAGAAACACTTTATTTGTTTCACGGGATCGACAAGAGGGAAATCAAGCGGTATTATGTCGTACGACAACACAAATTTGTCAAAGTTATGTGCGTGAATGCTTAGAGGATATCATAAGAAGACAAATGCTTAGACCAGGCAAACTCTGAAATTAATTGACGATATCTTTTGAAGGGGCTAGAGGAGACAATGTGCCAAATTGGCAATTAATTTGGTGTCGTGGAATGACAGAGGTAATAACAGTGAATAGATGTGGTGCAACAAGCTCGACTTTTCGACCTCGAAATGGTAATTGACGGCATAAGTTAAGTGAGGAAGCGCGGGAGTACGATCAACAAAAATGTGCCGAAAAATCCATTAATGTTGGACCAAATAAAATGTCTGTAAATAACATTCTTTCCTGCTTGTCTAATGCCAAATAGTTAAATTAGTTCAAATCATTTGAACAACCCAGTCCATTAAGTGGAGTTTTCAACTTTAAGAAGTCTGTGGTTGTTTCGCAAAGCGTTTTGAGCTTTCTTTAAACGCCTGATGAGATCTCGGGACTGGTGAAGTTGTTTAGTCGGTTTGCCTTCAGGCTACAATTAAGATGAAGTGGCTGCCAGATATGCCGATAATTAGCCAAGCGTTCCTGAATGTCAAGTTCGCAACAGTGATTTCACCTCGTCACGTTATTCAACAGTGGCCTTGTTCAGACGATGGATTATTTCTTGAGAGTTACAATTTCACTCTCGATGGTAAATTTGCGAGTAGCAACCGTGTAGACGCACTCAAAAAGTACATTACTTATAATTATTTCCGTA